AGGCAGCACCTCCATGTACAACGGAGCTGGACTTATCGCAGAAGGCATGTCTACCGGCAAGCCATTTGTTTTCGTGGCAGTTAACTACCGTGTGGGTGCTTGGGGATTCATGCCAGGCAAGGACCTCATGCAGGAAGGCAGCTCTAACGCTGGTCTTCTGGACCAAAGAATGGGTCTAGAATGGGTCCAGGACAACATTGCTAGCTTTGGGTAGGTCTCAAAGTCCTCTGAAACAAAATGACAAAGACAAAGATGCTGACTACTTGTCTTCTAGTGGCGACCCGGACAAGGTTACTCTATGGGGAGAGTCGGCCGGTGCTATATCGATCTTCAGTCAACTCTCGCTATACAACGGCAACATCACACGCAATGGCAAGGCTCTCTTTCGCGGCGCCATAATGAACTCCGGATCTGCTGTTCCGACTGATCCAATGGACTCTCCTAAAGCCACACAGGTTTATGACAAGGTCTTGTCTGCTGCCGGATGCGATGGAGCACCTGATCGATTAAAATGCCTGCGAGATCTTTCTTACGATGTGAGGCTACCTAGTGTACCTCTAACTCTGAATGTTGTGTCTGACATATGCGGCTAGGACATGCGCAAAGCTGCAAATTCCGTACCAGGTCTTCTGAGTTACAGCTCAGTGGCTCTTTCCTACCTCCCGAGACCTGACGGGAAGAACATTGTGTCAAGCCCAGAGGTATTTGCTACTTCTGGGAAGCTCCCCAAGGTACCCTTCATTCTAGGAGACCAAGAAGATGAGGGCACCCTTTTCGCTTTGTTCCAACCGAATATCACCAGGACTCGAGAAGTTGAAGAGTATCTTGGCGAACTCTACTTCAACAATGCTTCCCCACAGCAAATCAAAGACCTAGTAGGCACTTACGCTGCCCGCCCCTCTGAAGGATCGCCGTTCAGAACCGCAGGATTCAACGAAGTTCGGCCTCAATTCAAGAGACTAGCTGCTATCTTGGGTGACACGGTTTTCACCCTTACCCGTCGAGCTGTGTTCAACATCTCCCAAACAGTCCAGCCAGAAGTGAACACCTGGAGCTACCTCGCTAGTTACGACTACGGTACTCCTGTCCTCGGAACATTCCACGGATCGGATCTCCTCCAGGTATTTTATGGGATCAAGCCGAACTACGCTGCTGCGGCGACGCGGGCGTACTACTTCAACTTTGCTTACAACCTCGACCCCAATGACTCCTCTGGTGGCACGGGGAAGGCGAAGGTGAAGTTGATCGATTGGCCTAAGTGGAGAGACGGAAACAAGATGCTGCACATGATGGCCAAGAGTGCGGATTTGATAGATGATGATTTCCGACAGGACAGTTTCAACTTCTTGCTGAATAATGTAGAGAAGTTACGCTTCTAGTTTTGTGGGAGATGGTACGGTTCGTCTCGGGCCTGGAGCTGGCTTCTACGGTACTGAAGTTTGGGGGTTGGAAAGACATGGTCCTTCACGGTATCACCACTGGCATTTGTGTTACGTGCACCTAAGGCGCCGCTCTTATCAATTAAAAGTCGACTGAACCAGTTCTCTACAATTTTATGCCGATTACTGTTCCATGAGGATGGATGTAGTCGCCCTGACCGCCCCCATAGCCATCTCAGTGTCAGTGTGGCCAATGCGGTTGTCGTCTGATTACGACTTGCGATGACACAAACGTCCGTCTAAGCTCAAAGAACCGGGTTGATGCGATCTGTCGCACAAGATCTCGCGCCAGCATAAAAATAGCCAGATAACACGAATTTTATCTGATTTCCTTGGATAGTACTCTGTCTACTTATAGGGCTCTCTCACTCTATCGGCTCTAGTAAGGTACTCTAAATCCGGCCAATTCCTGCGCCAAGTTTGACAATGGGTGCTACCAAAGGAAGAGGAGTGAGCTTGAACTGGTATGGCGCCTTGTAGAAGGTGCCCTTCTGGGTAATGTTGACACCAGCTTTTCCCCAATCATTGGCTATTATCATGTTAGCATATCCCAAGATAATCACGAACAAGTGACAGGCCAAGCAAATACATACGTGCACCAAGATTAGCAAAGCCATCCAATTCCTCGTCACCACAGACACAAGTATTTGGAGAATCATCGGGGATTACGAGGCCGTAAGTGCTGAGCGCCTCACGGGTGTTTCCGCGGAAGACGTTGCCCTCGACGAGAACCTGGTTATCGGAGCGAGAGTGGATGGCCTGATAGAGGAAATCTTCGTAGAGGTTGCTGTAGATATGCTGGTGTCCGAAGCGACCTGCAGGCCCGCGAGTGCCTTCGTTCTTCCAATAATTGTGGTGGTATGTAACGTGAAGATGGCCAAAGTCGAGGTCGCGGAATGTGGCATCGTTCCCAACGAGGGATGATTTCCAGTGGTCGTGGAAGTAGTTCCAGGAAACAGTGATCCAGTCCGAGGCACGAATAATATCGACTTGACCGTCCTGTTTGATTGAAGTTAGCAACATTTCCAATCAGGAAGCCCATGCGGGAAAGGTCCACTTACATAGAAGTCCGGGCCTTTGGTAATATCTGAGGTGAATTCGTTGTGATCTACCCAGACCCTAGTAGAGTTACGGATCGTAATGCAGTCATTGTCCAAGATGTGGCTGATCTTGAGATTCTGCAAGATGACGTTCGTTGCGTTGTAGACATTGAGACCCTTGCCGGTAATATGTGCTGTGTTCTTGTAGCCAACCAAGCTCTTGTTGGATCCGACGTTGAGGCGTGCAGGCAAGACGAATTCGCCCTTCAGGACCACAATCTTGGGATCACTGCCTGCCACCGCGGTCTGAAGCTCGGGAACACTTGAGACTGTTACAGTTGGGCCTCCTTTGCCTCCGGTAGTCTTGCCAATTGGGTTGTCTTTGGCGAAGCCTTCGACTTCCCAAGAGGCAAGGCCGAGCCAATCGAGGGGATTGGCAGTGGTTAAGCCTAGGAAGGCGCAGAAAACTACCGAGACGCTGACTCTCATGGTGGTAATTATCTTGAGAAGGAACCGGGACCGGAAAGAAGACACAGAGGGGAGAAAAACCAGTACTGACGACAGACTGCGTGATCTACAAGAATGGCTCGTTGACTGGAAGGCCAGTGCCTGGTCCTACTTATACACAATCTATTGCATCCATGAGCTCACGGTCTGTTAGTCAATCAGCAACCCTCAAACCCCGAACCGAGCCTTGAGCCGGGTCCCAAGCTACTGGATCTGCAGCTATTCCGCGATTCTATGAATGTCATGAGCATTTTCTACGAGCATGCGGAGAACCCTGCATGCCTTGCAGAAATTGCAGAAGCTATCACCAATGATAGTCAATCAAGATACCAGGTCGAGCATCTTGGCCAAGCCACGCAAACACGGGAAGACCATGCCAAGATCCGGCTAGCGATGGCGCTCCGCTGCCAGTGGTGGAAAATGAAGACTCCGGGTCATGATGGGATGCGGCAGAAATGGCACGGGATGTTGCAGAGCATTTGTCTCTTCAGAAAGACAAGATGTTGGACGCAGCCAAGGATGACTACAACTGCTGAAGATCAAGCGAAATGGAAAGCATTTTGCCTAAGGTGACGGTGTGTGATGGGGATTATTAGAGGATATCTGCAGGTGCAATAGGGCAGGCTGCAGGGTCAGGTAAGCAATGCAGTTGGCTGGTGTTAAAGCCTAATCTGCGGAAAATGGGGTAAACCTTGCTCAATGCACCAAACATACTTGACATTGGTTAAGTCCATCATCCCGTGGAATAAGCTTATGGACTTCCCGAAAGTCAAAAAGAGACTCTATGTGGCACCGATCGGGAACAACATCAATCATACAAGGTCCTTTGTGTCGAGTGTCGGTCGCAGGGAGAAAGCAGCCGTGTACGAATAGCTTATACACTTCTTGCATTGCCCAGAGTAATACTCGCGTCTTGCTGTCCCATATCTGAAGCCCAAGCATTTGAATATTACTCCGGGGGCTAGAGAACCATTACCCCTCACGAAATGCACAAGATGCAGGGCGCATATGCAATGCCGCGGCGCCCAGGCTAAATCATCCTGTGAAATTCATGTATGCGGAGCTGGGTCTCGTCCGGAAAGGCTCTCAGACTCAATCGTCCTTTCATTCTTTGGGTTCGGAGGCGTTCGGGAATCCAAGCCACGCGGAGCCCTTGTCCAGATTCTTCCATGAACCACGTTGTCGAGTGACACTGCGTCTAGTCGACCTACTCCTCTTAACTGACTTGCTCATTTCTCCAGGAAGTGGGTCAAACATCTCTCAATGCTGGTCGAGCTCAAGAATCCGGTTGATCCTCTATCAGCCCATCATCATGATATCTCAACGATTTCTAGGAGAGTCTCGGAGGCTCCTGAGACAACTCACCTGTTGTTTTAAAAGGGTTATTCCATGCATTCTTTCCACCTGCAGAGAACTTTACGTAAGGGGCTTTCGAGGCGCTGGCTGTCTCACCTCAGCCCTTTCGGCCAGGCGCGTCTGCTTCAGGACCTCAGCTCCGGCTCGACCGCCGGTCTAGATTCCGCCCCGCCGACACGGCCCCACCAGGGCTTTCCTCCCTCGCTTCACGACTCAAATCCCACACTTCCTCTCCCCCACCGCAACGATTCCTATTGCCCAATTCCCGCTTCAACCTTCAACAATTCAAATGGTCTGGTGGTGTAGTTGGTTATCACGTCAGTCTAACAGATTCGAGGCAACTCGGACTGAGAACACTGAAGGTCTCCGGTTCAAGTCCGGGCTAGATCATCATGGGCGATTGGTTTAGTGGTATAATGACCGCTTAGCATGCGGTAGGTCCTGGGTTCGATTCCCAGATCGTCCATTCTTTTGCTTCCCAGAGCCTTGGTTGATTAACGTTTGGTTTTTTGACTTTGTTTGCATGTTCCTTGCCCTTCTCTGCTCCTTGATCCAACGTGCAAATTCTACTCGAAGCATACCCTTCCCCCCCTCTTCCAGCGACTTTCACACACAAGAGGTTTAACACAATTTGTTAGGCATTGTTAAGTTGTAAAGGTCTATGGTTCTAATTTTGCCAAGTTAAAATGGGAAGATGATGATATGGCTGCGCAAACGTCTACTCCTGTTTCGCAGGCTTGCGTCCAACCATCAGGTACATGGGTGTGAAAATCTTCTCCTTACCACCGAGAACAAGAGCATCAGCAGCGACACAAAGGCTATCTGACATCTTCATCATCCCAGGAGGCGCAAGTCTCAAAGTCTCCATGAGTCCAAGGAACCCATGCGTAAACGCCCGTCCCAGTCCAGTCATGCGGAAGGTGTAGAGCAAGTCGCCCACCGTCTGCGCGTGTCTCCAGCTACCCGCATCTAACGGCCAGTACCACGGGCTCGGATCGGGGCGCTCGGCCATATCCTCGTTTTGGATCATCTCGAAGCCAGCTGCCTGGAACGCGCGCACAGCTTCGGATGCTTTGACCATGTTGGCGATGCCGTCTCCCTGTTCGATGTCGATACGGATCTTGCGGAGACGGAGGTCTTCGTTGTCGTACTTTTCCGTCATGACCCACTCGTAGACGCCAAAAACGCCGCCGGGCTTGAGAACTCTGAAGATCTCAGAGTACACATCTTGCAGGGACGGTGCGTGGACTGTAGCCTCGATGGCGTAGACCGCGTCAAAGGTGTTGTCTTCGAAGGGAATTTTCTGTTAAACACTTGTTGTTAGTTGGACTTGCAGGCGTGCTTTGTCGAAAGTAGGGGTTTATACCATGAAGTCGCCCTGGACAAATTGGACGTGTTTATCCAACTTTGACTTGACGGCATACCTTGTGGCCCGTTCCACCTGGTACTCGTTGATGTTGAGACCGGTAATGTACGCCCCCGTGAACTTGGCAATCTCCCGAGCAGGTCCGCCCACGCCGCAGCCAACGTCCAGCACCTTCATATCCTTCTTAATATCGATAACGTGGGCGAGGTAGTGTTCGTGTCTTGCGATGCTCTGCTTGAAAGATTCGCCGGCAGAAGGGCGAGAAAAGTGGAAGCTTTGGCCGAACCCATACTCGTAGAAGTCGGTCGCCAAGTTGTAGTATCTGGGGAGTTGACAGTTAGACAACAGATTTGCTTTTCGAATGAGCTTGGAGACCTTACTGCCGAGTAAGAGAAGCGTAATCTGCTGTACGAGCCTGTATGACACCGATAGTTAGGCAAAGCTGGATCAAACTCTGATCACAATGTTGAACGTACATCGCGGTCTTCTTTCGTTTCTTTTTGTGCGCTCTTATTGTCCCAATGACTGAAGTACTCGTCCGTGGCCGCCTTCTGGGCTTCGTAGTCCTTCTTCAACATTGCTGACATGCCGACGTCTTTGGACGTTCCCTTGTGGAGAATCTTCTCAAACGTGGCATCTTTAGCCAAGAGCATCTGCCCTTCCTCTGGAATCGTTGTAACCATGATGATGAATGAGGAGTTGAGAGTTCTGGATGATGGTGACTTATAATAGAGTCGAAAAGGCTGGTTTTGCGATGTCGAGAGTTGGTAGGAAGCTGGCAGCACTCGTTGGAAGACGTAGTTTTCGAGTTGTTTTCGTCCGTTCTTCTGCCGGGAGCGTCTTTTCTGCTTTTAAATGTTTTTTCTTCGATATCAGCTTCAATCATCAATCCAAAGAGTTGAACAAATTGTCTCTATCATTTACAAACTAAGGAAGCTGAGATCTCAGACACGAATACGTGATAAGCTCTTCGATGAAAACCAAATCCGAATACGAATGCGCCTCTCTGCCCCCCTACGGATGTCAGAACCGTCAACTCGGACACTGTCCAGGAATCCTTCTGATTCGTCGACCCTGCCCAAATGGGAAAGACGGTGGATCGCGAAGATGATGCAACAACCCGTTAGCTCCCGTAGAGCCGTTTCCTCACTCAATGGAGCATCTTGATAAAATTTGTGGATATCTCTCGAGATGTTCTGTCTTTTCTGCAGGCATCATTCCGTTTTACCATGCTTTCTGATGAAATTGCTGGTCTTCGGGAGACCCATATTTCGAGCCTATTGTGGGAAAGCGCCGGTTTGACCTGTCCGTGCCGCTCTCAGAGCCATGAACACGAATACGAAGAGCGGCCGGATCCAGCACTACTTGCCTTGATATTGATGATTGAAGAGTCGGCACAGAGCGACGCCGGATGCTGGCATATCGTAGGTGTTCATAACATCGAAATGAACGAACATTGCACGTATTGACTCTTACGCGCTTCTTGCTATCATAAATATCCCTTGAAAACCCCGCTTAATGGCTCACCATGGACCGTGGCAGCCACAGGCTCGAAGTGGGCACCACCCATGCCCAGGGTTTGCATGCGAACCTGCTCAAGCAGACCTGCTCGTTGTCCTTGAGATCGGCGTGGCGTTCAGCTCCTAGCAATCGTCATTCCGCTCCTATTCGTGAAGCCAATGCATGGTCTGCTAACACGTGATCATGTTGTCATGTCAGAACAAAAGAGCTATGATTTCGATTGCACAAGGCAACGATAACATGTTCCATTAGGCGGGTCGTAGTTAAGAGATGAAGGGTTTGCGACAGGAACAAACAGGACTATGGGCTGCTATTATATGCATAATGGCCAAATCCTGCCGTGCTCTTCGGATGGCGGGGCATTCTCTCCGTACTATTTCTACCGGTTCCGAGGCTGGTGCGGGGCAGAGCTTGGTGTCCGGAGACGGGCCCGGGCTCAGGGGTTCCGGGAACTTCGGAAGACAGCCGGCGGGCCTAGCATGTGATAATCGGAGCCGTGGAGATGAGACAGTCCCGGCCACTTGGTGCTGCCCCGTTTTGATGCTGCGGTAACGATGGGCTTAAGGCCCGAACCCGATTATGGCTCCACTTACGGTGCACATCGAACGGAGCCGTGACTCGTGACTCGCGATGGTCCTATCCGGATCGTACAGCGGGATACTCGTGCCATCCTTGTCACTCCCGTCGGCAGTCTTGTGTGGTAGCCTTCGTCAGCCTCAATCGCTAGTCATTTCCTAGGTTCACGTCTCATTGACGCGATAGTGAGTTCGCCCTAAGCCGCCTTAGAATCCTGGGTCGGCCAGATTTGCGGTTGTCTGTCTAAGGATCTGACTGTAGATCTGACAGAGCCGCATTATGCACTGCCCTGATGAAATCGAGATATATCATATATCCTGTCGTGTCACATAGATGCGATGGATTTGGGCAGAGGATTCGATCAGTTGCTGACTGCTCGTAGATATACGAGGCACGTGTGGGATCTATCCGGTGAGCTTGGGTTTCCACATCTGGAGATGATTGGAGGGCCAAGACTCGGGATGATCACGATGGGCTGCGGGGGTCATGTCGCACAAGCGAGCAATGACGACAACGTGGCAGGTGGAAAGGGGACTTATTGGTTCTGTCGGATGATTGCTTGATCTTGTGTCCACCACAAGTTCCATCCCCAGACTCGACCTCTTTGTTCCACATTGTCCCCGTGGGGAGAGATGCTGTCGACTTGGTCGAGCCACGACGATTGACCCAGGAATCCAGGTGAGGCCGGCATCGCGCCGAACAAAATTGGGCAGAAAGATTAGGGAATGGTTGAGAGGAGCTCCTAATTTCAGCGATATTCTGCTCGCGCGTGATACGCCCGAGTGCTTTTTTGAGTTTCCTGGACCTGGAACTCGCTCAGTCTGGGGGCGCTCACCCGCCCAACCTTCTTTCCGAGAGACTCAGACAAGAGACCAGAGACCAGACCAACGAACCTTCAACGTTGCGTAAAGACGGTACCGACCAATCGCTGGAACTCTGGCGCCAATCCCCGCCTAAAGTCCCGCAAATATTCGTGATGTATCTGCGGGAGGCTACGCGGGGAAGAACGCTGCCGTTCGCCGTTCGATCATCAGGCGGTTTGCTAAGAAAAAGGCGCTTATCTGTTGGGAGTTGGTACGGATACAGCACACGTACGTAGTAGCGTACGGCAATAGTGGGATAACTTGATGGGGGTCGATCGCTGCTAGATCTCTCTTCTCACTCGCAGCCCCCAACTGTCAGGACCGTAAAGAAAGGGAATTTGAACCAACAGGAGCAACCAACGCCAACCCCAGAACACCCACAGCGACAGTCATCCCATCTGCAAGTGTTTGTGGCAGGGATGCCTAGTTTCAGCGACGTCAGGCAAGAAGACCTATTGGCCGTCCCGCCATACGAAATCTCGCAGAAATCTTCGCCCCAATTGCCGGTGGGTGGAAACGCCGAATGTTCTCTGTGCCGCCATTCGTCAGACATGGATTCTTGCACAGGATCTCTACCAAGCTACTCCCTGGTGGGAAAGGCTCGCTGACCCGAAGCAGCATCAGGTACGCCACATGTGCGCAGGGATGTACGCGGTGTCGCCGGCGAACACTTCTAGTGTACGGTACGGCAAGTCTAGACATCCAGCTGGCACTACCGTCTCACTCTGTGGTCTTGTCTTTTTGAGTTTTGGGCTGACAGTTTTTCTCTCCTTTTGGGTGAGGCGAGAAGTGTCCGCTAGAGCCTAAGCAATGCTATCCCGTACTTTGTCTGATGTGGGTTTCTTCTCCTTTTGCCGTGACCCTCCCACCCCTTTCCTTTCCCAATACTTGACCCATCCACATCCATATGCGACCCAGCCGTTCGAGACATCTCGCTGTCAATCCCCAACCAGCAAACAAGTACCAACCACACTGCATCTCCAACCCCAGACCATCCATCCCTCGACTTTCCCCGCGCGAGCCAATGGGTCGCGGAGAAAGTGGAGCATAGCGTGGTCCTTAGTCCCGGATTCCAAGCCTTGGGTCCTAGACTGCTAGGGGGGACGGGCGAAAAGGAAGCCTTGGGGTTCTTTGGTTCTGTCTTTTCGCATTGAAGTGCGGCGACTTAAGACACGGATGGTCCATAACGTCAACATCATACATACCTTCTTTCCGCCACCTTGGAATTGAATTTGAGCGAGCCAGTGAGAAGCCGCGCCGCTTAATCGACTACCTTGCTTCTCCGGGAAGAACTATCACCACCACCTCCTTGGCGCATAGCATCAGCTTGATCGAGCAAACGTCCAGGCAAGATATAAGATGATCTGATATCCCCAGTCTCAACACATCTTCAGAACATCAGCTTCAGCAGCTTCATTGGGATTGACAACAATTCAAGCTCGAGCATCTTCGACTCCCCTTGACAGGAGTCTCAGAACACCCGCTCTGATCTTATAAGATCGAGCCCGAACCCACATTCACCCCCGGTTTATCAACTCTTCTTTCTTCTCCATTTTTTACCCCAGTACACCGCAACCATGGTGCACATCGGATCATCCGCGGGCAGGGCGCCGACCGAGACCATCCAGATCGACTCGGAGGCCACCCGCCGCATGTCCATCGCCGATGCAGATGCCGCCGGGCTCGCCCGTGAGGCGGCCAAAGCGACCGAGGCCGAGCTCAGTATGGGCCTGATGGCATCGATCAAGCTCTACCCCAGGGCCGTCATGTGGTCGCTCTTCTTCAGCACCGCCGTCATCATGGAGGGTTTCGACAAGACTCTCATCGGTAACCTCTATGCCTACGACGTCTTCCAGCGCAAGTTTGGTGAGATCCAGCCCGACGGCAGCTATCAGTTGACTGCGGCGTGGCAGGCTGGTCTCAGCAACGGCGCGCTTGTTGGCGAGATCACCGGCCTGTTCCTCAACGGCATCATTGCCGAGAGATTCGGCTACCGCAAGACCATGATTGGTGGCCTCGTCGGCGTCACGGCTTTCATCTTCATCATCTTCTTCTCCGAGACCCTTGTCCAGCTCCTGATCGGAGAGATGCTCATTGGTATTCCATGGGGTATCTTCCAGACCCTGACTGTCACCTACGCCTCCGAGGTCTGCCCCACACATCTGCGAGCCTACCTTGTGAGTCCCAATATTCCCGCCAGATCCCCTTTTGGGCTAATCGCTAACTCTCTATTCAGACTACCTATGTCAATCTCTGCTGGGTTATTGGTCAACTCATTGCCAGCGGTGTTCTTCGAGGTGTCATCACCCGTACCGACGAGTGGGGATACAAGATTCCCTTTGCCCTCCAGTGGATGTGGCCCGTCCCCCTCATCATCGGCATCTTCTTCGCTCCCGAATCTCCCTGGTGGCTCATCCGCAAGGAGCGCCTCGATGACGCCAAGAAGTCTCTCATTCGCCTCACCAGCCGCAACCAACAGGCAAACTTCAATGCCGATGAGACTATCTCCATGATGGTCCACACCAACGAGCTCGAGAAGGCAGCGCAGAGTGGAACAAGCTATATTGACTGCTTCAAGGGCACCGACCTTCGCCGTACCGAGATTGTCTGCGTCACATGGGCCATCCAGACCCTTTGCGGCTCAACATTCATGGGATACTCGACATACTTCTACCAGCAAGCCGGCATGGCCAAGGAGAACGCATTCACCATGTCCTTGGCCCAGTACGCTCTCGGCGCCCTCGGCACAGTCTTCTCCTGGTTCCTGATGCAGCACTTCGGCAGACGCACTCTGTATCTCTCTGGCCAGGGCATCATGTGCGCCATCCTCGCAGCCATCGGTTTCGCATCCTTGGCCGGCAAGTCCAACGTCGCCGCACAGTGGGCCATTGGCAGCTTGCTCCTCGTCTATACCTTCATGTACGACTGCACTGTCGGCCCCGTCTGCTACTCTCTCGTCTCTGAACTGAGCTCGACCCGCCTGAGGACCAAGACTGTCGTGCTCGCGCGTAACTTGTACAACATCACCGGCATCACGACCAACATCCTGACCCCGCTGATGCTCAACCCTTCTGCGTGGAACTGGGGCGCCAAGAGCGGTTTCTTCTGGGCCGTCAGCTGTGCCATCTGCTTCGTCTGGACCTGGTTCCGTCTGCCTGAGCCCAGAGGCCGCACCTACGGCGAGCTCGAGATTCTCTTTGACCAGCGCATCCCGGCACGCAAGTTCAGGAAGACCGAGATTGCTGGCCTCACTCACGGAGCCCAGTCCACTGACAGACTTTCCGAGAAGGAGGCCATGGCGGCCGTCAGCCAGATTGAGAAGACTGCCTCAGCATAGGGGCCTTTGAGAAACTGAAGGAAAAGGATGGATTATTTCAGGATTAGTTTACGTATACCATTGGATCAGAGAAGGGGTTGAATTTCCAGCAGCAAGCATTTTGCACACATATCGTCTTTAGATTTTTTGTCAAAGAAAGAATAATCTCATAAATTTCGTAACTCAATCATTTTACATTCGCCTTATTGTGTTCAGAATGTGAACGGCTCCCCGCGACAAGTAAGTACTCGCTAACCGCGGAGGTTTCCAGATGATGGATTCAACATTAGATAACTCATCCATGAGATAATTCACCGATGTCAATAGTCACCTAAGTTATGAGTCTTTGTGGAATGCCCTCAGCTTCTATTTTCCAACGTACCATTTACCTGCAGATAGCATGGTTAAACTCGAAGATGTTCCGACCAGCGGAAGAGAAAAGCCATCATTCATTGGACTTAGCATTCAGCGATCGCTCCCCACGAACTCCCGGAAGCGGGGCCGGTGATAAGAGCCGGGATTGCGCGGCTGCCTAACGGGCATTTTAAGCCGGCCGGCGTAGTCCTATGGCTCGGTATATCTTGGCCGCGATGAGGTCCAATCGGAGCAGATTCATACTCGTAACCGGATTCCAACTCCGTGACAGGGACATGAGAAACCTTTCTTGAATGTGCTGCAAAGTCCTGTCGCCTAGGATGGAATCCTAGACTAGAACTTTGGGTGATCCATTCTCTTTTCTTTCTAGGTTCCACTCTAGGACTTATGAAAACCTAGGCAGCACACTTCAACTATACTTGCACTATAAGACCTGGATACAACTTCTAGGAAGCCTTCTCCAAAGGATTCAGGATGTGGCTGGTGCAGGCAATTACAAAGCTTATCTGGTCGTGAGGATTGTGTGCCAAGACGCCAGAGCTTCCGAAAGCCGTTGCCTAATTACTGCCTCCACAGTGGACAGGGCTGAAGTCGCTAAATTGAGGGTCTGATCCCCTAAAATCAAAGCGTCTCATGGCCCTAATTCTCTCAACGTCGAGGGTCGAGACGGAGGGGGCATCATGTCTATTGCAGTCATAGTTCGTCTATGCCACGACTCTGAGCCATCAAATAGGTGCCTATTCGCAGAGCCAACAAGCGATCCACGGTGGCTTGTCTATTGATAGATGATTTAAGCTTAAAATCTGTTGGAGAGACATGGTCCCATGTTGTCCGTGGTGTTGGTCCCTGTGGATGCAGCTTGGTGGCATACACGGGTAAAGCCAATAACAAGCCCAAGTCCCGAGGATAATGAACAAACTTGAGAAGTCTTTGTCTGTGATGATTTTGGTAAAGATTGTAGGTGCTGTGAACCGGCATGAAACGTTTCACTCTGCAACTTTGCGGTAAACTTCAGTTCTTTGTCTGAATGAAGGAAGTATTTGCCATTCGGCCGGGTCCCACGTCGAGCAGTCACAAGTCATCTTGGACAACCCCTCGACTCCCGCTTGAGACTCACGACTAAGCGATGTCATGATGCCAACGTCAACAACCCCAAAGGGCGAGAGCAACTGAACTCTCGAGCCATTGCACCCGCCTATTCAAGAAGAAGACCACGATATCACTCGCCCAATTGAGAAAAATTAATCATAAACAAATCCACCATGGATTTTCTGGGCGAAGCTAGCAAGCCTCCCCTGCAGTGAAACCAACGATCCTCTTCTTCCACCCATCACCACCCCCAAACCATCCACCCTCGCACAACCTCCGCTGCGCCACGTAGCACAAGGATCCCCATCCGCAAACACCAAGACGACTATCCTTTTCTCCCCATCTCGCTTGTGGCCGTTACCCATCTGTGTGGGGGAGAGGAATATAAGAAGCGCCCACCATGCCTCACCCTTCGCAGCTCATCTTCCCCCCGCCCCCCGGCACCGATCCTGCTCTTCTCTACTTTGGTGGTTGGCCCGAGATCACCTACCGCACCACCCTTGAGCCCGACGACCTCACCTCCGACTCAGACGACGAGCTTGAGCCCCTTCTTGGTCTCAGTGGCAGCGAGATCATGGCTTACGGCGATCAGCAGGGCGGCGCCGCCAGTGGTGGTGGTACTACCGCCGGTCAGGGCAGCCTCCAGAACCGCATGTGCCCCAACATGCGTACTTGCTGGGCATTCTCCTGGGAGTCGTACAATTTGAAGACCTCCGACAAGGCTGTGCTCCTTCGTCGGATTTGCATGATCATCATTCTCGGTATCCGGACCGCCATCACCATCATCGGCATCGTCTACGACGTTATCAACGCTCAGATCGTCAGTCTGATTTTCGACATTATTCTCGGAATCTTGGGATTCTTGTTCATCGCTTGGGCCCTTGCCGTCATCGGTCAGGCCGAGGGTCGCCGCAAGGTTTTGGGCGTCATGGTTGTGAGTACTTGTCTGAGATGAGGTGGTGGGGTCTGGTGAGATGAGAGGACCACAGCTAATGAGCTTTTGTTTTTTCCCCAGGGTCGCTGGCACTTCGATATCTTCCTGCTCGTCACCGCCTTCATTCACGCCGCCATCCTCGTCGGCAGCATTATCGGCTTTGGCAACGGCGGCCGTTACGCTACCTGGCTCATCATGTGGCTTCTCATCTTCGGCGTCGCGTGGGTCGCTACCTGGCCCGCTGAGGCCGAGAGCTACGCCTAGTCGAGCAGCATAGCATTGCTACGATAGCATTTTCTTTGAGCGACGCATTCGAATTGATTTGCCAATTGAGGAGTTACAAGTCGCGTGATGAAATTGGGCTGGATCGAAGAAGCAGAAACTTTGGGCGTTACAATACTGATATGGAAGGGCAAGGGCGGGAGAGGGGCCCATGAAAACTGATGCTTCACTCTGGAATTCGCGATACCCTAGCATAGGTAGCTGAGACTTGCTGAAATGCGTGAGCAGTACGGCTTGGTCAGGCTGTATGAGATCAAATGAGATGCCAAGTGCTTTCATGAGGCTCGTGAACGCAACGCAATAATGAGAGCCACGCTCATCATACCTCTAGGTGGGTGAGATAGAACCACGTGCTGCGTGCTCCCTCTTGACCACTCTGGTTGCGCTCTGGATGAGCCAAATCCGGGCGAGGTAAGCTTTAGGTTGCCCCAAGTCTCATCGCGCAAGGTGTCTGAGTGAGGCACCTGAGATGCATCGAGTCCTTGAATCGCTTATCGTCGCGTCGATTCGCTGGCGCGGTTCCGGAGCGGGCTCCGGGGCTGCTGTATCTGCCGGCGATGAAGCGGGTCTCGCCCCACGTGATGCTTGATGGTGTCCGATCGATGGTTTGAGTGAGTTCTGTTGCGGCAGGCGATCTCATTTGATGAGGTGTACTGAAATTTCTCCAGTTCTGTGATCGCTTGATGGTGAGTTTGGGGCATCATTTCAGTCACGTCTACTCACTCCTGCGAGAATGTCGCGCTAATCGAAGCATCTGGTTGAGGTTGTTGCCAATGCAATGTGAGATCTCAGAGATTGACGACTCACTAGACGGTCCGGAACGCTGTGGAATTATCACAAAATGAGGCTGCTGCGAATTGGGGGGATAAGCTCTTTTTAAATTCGCTCTCAGGGAGTATCGCATGCAATCGTGGAAATGAAAGACAACTTGGACAGATAGACAGACCGACCGACCCTTATTGAACCCCAAAAAGAAAAAAAAGGAAAAGTCCGAGGGCTACCAAAAGAGGGCGATTGACCCCGCTCATTTGTAGCCCAGTCTCTCCAGAATAGATTGACCAGCGGGAGCGCCGCCTTGTCCCTTTCTCAGGCCGGCGTCGACACCCTTGACGTAGTCAAGAACGCGGATGTGTTCCTTCTTAAGCTCCTCGAAGTCGTGGGACAGCTGCTCGTGCCATGGGTACAGGACGAAGACCTGGAAGCCGAGGGCCGAAGAAGCGACGAGGAAGTTGGTAAGAGAGATGGCTCGCGTGATGAGAACCATTGTGGCAGTTTGTTTATTGGTGTTTATGTGTGTATTGAGTGTTGTTGATTCTCACTTCTTTGTTGCGAAGTGTTCGGTTTGCTCGGAATCTGGAGTCACGCGGGCTCGGTCAGCGAATGCGACTGCGACCTCGCGGGGTATCTTGGCCCGAGCGAGAATCGGGTAAGAGATAATCACGGCTTACTTGGTTTTATGATTCTGTAGATGTAATGGCCTGGATCTATACGTGGTCGATCTGTCGTAAAAGAAAAGGCAAAGAGAGAGGAACTTGGTCTATTGAGGAAGAAAAACGATTAAGGACAAAAAGAAAAAGTGTGGTGTAGAAGAGGAAGTTCGACGATTGACGGCAACGAAACGGGCAGAAATTATTATTCAAGAGGCAACCCGGGGATGATACCTGAAAGACCCTTTTGGGACAATGGGAACCTCCCCAGGTGATTACCTCACCGACAGCGGCCCGGCGGCAAGGTGGGACCTCCGACGAGCACGCTCGGACTTGGACGGGTTGGTTGGCTCCCACGACATGGAGGGAGGCACAGGGCTTGGGAAAGGATCATGCCGAGTAACACGAGCAACACATATTGTTGTGGTACCTCCGCCTTCCGAGTACCTTGCGTGGGGGCGTTTGTATAAGTTAGTTGTAACTGTAACTTTCCTTCTCGTTCTCGCTGCTGGCCTGGGCCTCGAACATGACCTCGGATAGCGACAACACCAGCACCAAGAGGAGAAGAAGAACAGCAAAGCAACAGCTGGTCAGGCGTATCAAGCGTATCCGAGTGCTCGGCGACCATGTCCAGGTACCGCAAAATCGCAAACGAAAGCATGTCAAGTGACGGCTGGAAGCCCCGAGAAAGGAGGGAATGATTCAAGGCGGATGGGGTCGAGGTGGCCTGACTTTTATGGAGCCCGTCTTTGCCGTCAGAACTGCCTAATGAAAACTAGAGAACTTCCCGGGGTGGAGCCGGGAGACCGAGGGCCCAAAATCAACGGGCCTCCCCGACTGGCTTGTGGCGTCCAACGAGCTTCTCTCGCACAACGCAGTCCTGCAGCTTGCCTCCAAGGGCCCTATCCTCTAGACAGAAACACAGAGTGACAATGTGACCTCGAGCTTATCCCCTTGGTCCTTTGGCCTCTTTGTTTGGTTCAGCCGGGAACCTTTTTGAGGATTCGATGGGGGGTTCGTCGGGGCAGAAAACATGCGTCTGCAGGGGACGAATGACGCATGTGAAAGTCTTCCTAGGAGTGAACGAGCCAACTCAGACAAAAATTCGCCCGCAGAGGCCACTGAAAGCAATCTCACTACTAATAAATACAAAAATTGGTTACGATAAGTCACATAGGTCGCGTTTGACTTTGATAATCTGGCCAGGTGATGAGTAATGTTTCTCTATTCAATTTATCTACATCAGAACACACTGACACAATAGAACCACTGATGATGCGCTGCTAGAGCCTTTCAATTGCCCAACGGCAGGGTGTCGCGGAGCCTTGATGCCATCTCAACCTGACGCAGCTTTACAAGAAAGACTACATGTACGCACCAAAGCAAGGCTCGGTAAGTAACCCGGACTGAAGATCCCCCAGCGCCATCCCCAGACTCCGTCGACCTTTGAGCCGTTGAAGAATCGAATCAGCTGTTTGCCCCGCAGACCGCAAGCCCGGGTCGACGCCGGTAGCGGGAGCTGGAGCGGGGCACATCAGCTCGGGCTGCCACGTGTTGGTGGAGCATTGCCTTTCCGAAAGCTGCCGATGCTGGGCCCACAGCCGCCGCTCTTTCGATCTGGATCACTGCATGTCTTCTCTGGCAGTCGAGCGCTTCGCGATAGGATTTCATCTCTTGATGCACTGGATTTGGTTTTGGAGATGAATAATTAGAGACCAGACTCTATGCATCGACAGCCTAAGTCTCGCCATGCGTCATGTGTTGAGAGCCCTTTGGATTCCTGACTTCACCAACAAGTTGTCAAGGGTTGCGCTGGTGTCAGCGCTCGATAGAGGCTGAGCGATAAATTGTGAAGCTCAACTCGAATCTTATTATGAGCTCCAGATCTGTGACAAGCATCGCTATAGAAGTTGAGTTGTGCCATCCGGAGTTAGGTTGGGGATTGTGCTTGGGGACTCAATGGTATATGTATGAACTCAAGTCTCAAGGGTCTACTACAGGCCAGCATGTGTCTGTCCATAACGATTCACAACACAGAATTCACGGTAGCAATTATACTGTCGTCAGCTTTCTAGTTCAATGTTGATGTATGAGAAGATGAAAGCCTGTGACGATCGCGCAATGATCAGGCAATACCTCTCGGAAGGCCAAGTCCAGCGCGCCTTCCTCAGTATTATATCACCCAATTGCCGAGATGCAATTTTTCGTGTGATTTAGCATGATTCAGATTTTCTTGGTATTTTAATAGCTCTGGCCTTCTCAGACCTTTAGCTGACTTGAGCTGAACGAGTCGACAGGTGCCAACTTTCCGTCGATTTGACAAACGCAAGTGGAGATGCGCTTCTGATAATCTTTGTTGTCCCGAAGTTCCCAAATAAGCGGACAGCTGAGTATAATTGAACATGGAGGTCGAACTCGCCTACTTTGCAAACATATGCGGAAATCGATTGTCTCTGCAACCTGCGGATCGCACATCTCCTCCTTGAACAACCAGTTTCACTCAACTCCGAACACTCAATGAATTGCAAGTCGCAGACGATACTTTTGAGACGTTTGACTGAACAGTTCTCTCGTTTTGCGTATTACGAGGAAAGAGAAGACAGTATAATTCAAGAAACTCCATGTGCTTGGTGAATGAACAAGTGTATATCTGATATGATTGGAGGTTGATGACTGCAGGCTGGATATGCGCACCCGATTAGAGATTGGCCGAGGAATTGAATAGAAAGGCTTGGTTGTAGTACTTGACACAAATTCGCCCATTGATATTTCGAACTGCATGATACAGATGGGATTTGCCCCTCTGATGCTGTTACTATCTGCTGCGTTGTCGCGACATAGCAGGGAAGAATTGCGCGAAGTGGCTCTGGCAAGCATCCATCAATCACGTCACACAGATAACGATCTAAGGAGAAACAGAATTGAATAATGGCTAGACTTTCTATTTCATGAGATTCATCATGCCTGTTAACTAAGCAATTAACGTGAGAGCTGAAAGCCGCCATACCGCCTTCAAGGTTTCTCGACTCTCAGCCCAGATCTCACTGTAAGATCAAAGCTAGATGAGGGACATGCCGTATCAATTAGTGTCCCAACGAAATATGCAAGTCGAGCTCCCACGTCAAATAGTAGCGATAAGCTCTCAGTGGGACTTTCACTATCTCCATCTAGTTCTGAGCGTTGTGCAAGCACGTCATATGCAACACCAATTCGTCAGAGCTTTCGAGGCTATATGTTCTTCACTTGGCGTAAACTGTCGGAACAGATTCACCAAGCTTCTTGCTTCTTAATTTCAATAAACGGCATTCTCATATTCGACTTCAAACCATGGCTCCCAGATATTCCAGTGTCGCAGTGATCGGTGCCGGGCCTTCTGGCATCTCCGCTGTGAAAGCCTTGAGCGAAGAGAATGTCTTCGAAAGAATCCAATTGTTCGACAGAAGAGAAGGAATTGGTGGCACATGGTATGCTGTCTACATTACAAAATGCTTGAACTCAATTTGACGTATGTCTCCAGGATCTACGATGAGCAGCCGGAACCTTTTTCGCCATCCTCGGCGCAACCTGTGCGAGAGATTCCAGCCAAGCTACCACAGTCACTGCCATCAGCATCTGAAAATGTCACAGCTCGGACAGGTCTCTATCCCGCCTTGGACAGTAATGTCGGCTCCCAAGTGATGGCGTTCACCTACAAACCGTTTCCGGATGTGAACTCGGCCTCTTCCATCAACCGCTTTGGCAAGAAGAACCCGACGCATCCCTACGCGCAAGTCGCAGGCTACCTCGAGGAGATTGCAGAGCCGTTTTCGCACTTGTTCACCTTCAATACGCACGTGGAGCGTGTAGAGAAAGTGGGCAAGAAATGGCAGTTGACTCTCAGGAAAACTCAACATTATCTGAAGAACCAGAAGAGAGATTACTGGTGGCAAGACACATTCGATGCTGTTGTTGTAGCCACTGGGCACTACGGCGTACCATTCGTCCCGAATATTGACGGCCTTCAAGAGACTTTTGCTGCTTTGCCTCAAAGGTTTGAGCACTCGAAGGCTTACAGGTCTCCTGAGGACTACGTTGGCAAGGTACTTGCTTACTCCCATCCTTCTTTATCGATGAGATGAATGCATGTAACTAACGCGAGGGTTTAGAAAGTCGTTGTCGTCGGCGGCAACGTTTCCGCATCTGACACAGTCTCAGAGATCCACAGCATCGTATCCGGGCCCCTTTATGTCTCGCAGCGAGGCTCTAATGAAATTCTCCAGGATGCATGGGAACTCCCCAACGTCGTGCTCAAGCCGCAAATCACACGAGTGTCCGTTGGATCTGGAAACACCGTCAAAGTCAAATTCTCGGACGGAAGTGAAGTTGACGGTATCGAGAAAGTTCACTTCGGCACCGGCTATCGACTTTCCTACCCTTTTCTGCGTCCCGATCCCGTGACACCGAGTGGGCGTCTTTCAGGATTTTACCAGCACGTCTTTAACATCGCGGATCCGTCACTCACAGTCGTCGGACAAGTCAAGGCGGCCATCTCGTTCCGTGTCTATGAGTACCAGGCCGTTGCCGTGGCTCGCTATTTCGCGAATCGGGGAGGCGGTCTGCCTTCTCCACGAGAACAGGACGAGTGGGAAGTGAAGCGACTGCAGTACAAGGGGCCGACGTCCCAGTTCCACGAAATTAAGCCCGACTTTTCAGAATATTTCGAGTTTTTGCGAGGTGTTGCCGGACCTCCTGCACCGGGCACGGATGCTTATGAGTTGCCTGCGTGGGAAGACGAATGGGCGTTGTTGGGCTTCGGCGTTTTGGCACTGAAGCAAAAGTGGTGGAAGGAGTTGAAAAGGAAGGAAGAGGAGGCAAAGAGAATCCAAGCCAAGTTGTAGGCTTGATGCACATTGGCCGTAGGGGCATACAGAACCTTGTTGCTTCGGCCCCGAGTGGATTTGAATCACTAGACTCTTGTGTTAGAATAACAGAGGGAGTTTCCCTTACGTTGACAAGCTTTTTCCCGTTCATAAGCGCGACCTTCTAACCAGAGGCTTTCCCATCTTTTCTCATTGCCAAGACGCCAGTTCCTACGCGAGATCTATAGGCGATTTTGCGTGTTATTCCCAGCCGAATTCGCGATAGACCTACCCGTTGCGGTTAATTTTCCGACGGAGTTCGACCGAGGGGTAGGAACCCACGCGGAGTTTAGTGGACCTCAGTGATCAACTGCCGAATGAGCTGCACAGTTGTCCTTTGAACGGTGGGTTCAACGTTGCACTAGCATATTCGTCATTCATGTAGAGAATGAGGAGTTCGTCCTATGGAAAAAGTTTGGAGGGACTTTTGAACGTGAGATGGCTAGAACATCGTCAAAGTGGCGATGGTAGCCGAGGCACGAGCTATCATATAAGTCAATGATGGCTCTCAGCAATGTATGTGAATGAAGTTCGTCAACCTCGAGTCCAAGAACCTGTCAAGATGGCGGAAGAATCACCCAAGTCCGTGTCGTCGGACGTCCACGATGCGGCCTCTGACCCACCGGTGAAGCGGGTGTGGTACCACAGCACCTTGTTCAATGCCTTCGTGATCGGAGGAGTTGGTATGAAGCCATGTGCACTGTCAGAGTAGCATTTACTAACATCACACAGGCTTCATGGCCCCTGGCCTGTGGAATGCGATGAACGCCCTCGGCGCAGGTGGTGCCCAGGAACCGTTCCTCGTCAATGCCGCCAATGCGCTCGTCTTCGGACTCATGGCCTTCCTGTGCTTATTCGGTGGGCCCATCGCGAACCGTATTGGGCTCTCAAGGACACTGTTGCTTGGAGCTGTTGGCTACCCACTTTACTCCGCTGGATTGTACACCAACAACCGTTACGGCAACGTCTGGCTCGTTCTTGTTGGAGCTGCCGCCTGCGGTATTTCTGCCGGCTTGTTCTGGGCCTCCGAGGGTGCTGTTGCTCTTGGGTACCCAGAGCCGTCTAAGCGTGGCAAGTACATGAACATTTGGCTCTGGTTCAGAACCGGTGGTCCTCTTGTCGGTGGGGCCATTGTCCTAGCCCTCAACAACGATGCGGCTGCGAAGAAGAAGGGCAAGGTTGGATATCAGACTTACCTGGTCTTCATTGCTCTGCAATGTCTCAGCGTGCCTCTTGCACTCGCCCTATCTCCCCCGGAGAAGGTCCAAAGATCCGACGGTAGCAAGGTCATTATCAAGGCTGAGAAGTCGTTCAAGGCCGAGTTCAGAGAGCTCCTCCGCGTTTCGAAGCGCAAGGACATCCTGCTGCTTCTCCCCATCTTTTGGGCCGCCTACTTCAACCAGTACAGCGGAAACTTCCAAGCCTACTATTTCGGCATCCGAGCTCGCGCACTCATCGGTTTCGTCAGCAATTTCGGCACGCTTCTCTCATCGCAGCTGATTAGCACCCTCCTCGACTACAAGAAATTCAGTGTAAAGAAACGCATCACTATTGGCTTCTACTACGTCATTGTATGGCACGTCATTGCGTGGGTTTACGGCTGGGTCATTCAAGAGAAGTACACCCGCAACCCACCTGCGTACGACTGGGAAGATAAGGGATTCACTGAGGGTTTCTTTGTGCTCTTGTTGTGGGATTTCGCCCGTCAAGCATTGCAGAGTTGGCTTTACTACCTTCTTGCCACCAAGACGGACAACATCTCTGAACTTACTCGCTTCTCCGGTATTTTGAGAGGTCAAGAGAGTTTCTCTCAGGCCGTCTCGTTTGGCTTGAACACACAAAAGTGGAAGGGTGGTCGTGTACCACTTGCCGTCAACACTATACTCCTGGGTAAGCCAAGCAGAGTCCATGATGAAGTGGAAGATGATGCTAATCGATGTAGGTTTGGCCGTTTATCCCACATGGCTGGTGGTCAGAGACCACGTCCCAGTCGAAGAGACCGACAGACTTGCAACTGTAGAGGAACAGTCACAAACTGGTGAACTAGCCGAGACGAGGTTGTCAGTGGATGAGAGAAAGGAATTTGCTGTGGGGCAGACGGGTATTGGGAGAGATGCGAAGATGTGATTTTGTCTTCTGAGACTTTCTGGTATCCAGAATCGATCGTTTGCATATCACACCCATACCTTCACAAATCAATCAAGACTCAAAGAGCAATGGGGTTCAAAAACTTCTTCATTCACGGGTTGTTGATGCACGTTTGGAATGAGCGCCCCAAGGTTGAAACTGCGATTGATATCCAACTAATATGATTACGTCTATTTATACCCAATTATACATCTAATTACAGCGTTACAAAGATTTACATTCACTTCATTCCCACCTTCATCTTCATTACTTCGTCCTAGGCACCCACATTAACCGCGTTCTCATTGTTATGAGAAGTATGGCTTCTCTGGAAGATACACCCTGTTCACACAAGAGAGTGCTCAGGAACGGGCGTAGGCCATGAGAGTGGGCTCGGCAATGAGCTTCGGGAGGTATGCCAACAAGCGAATGCCAGCCGCAACAATCGAACCAGCAGTAGCAATGCCATCCTCGAGGTTCAAGCCAGGGGCGATGAAGTCCTTGCAAACGTCGTTGAGGTTGATGTTGCTAATCTTGGCGGGTCCTGCGCCTCTCTGAAGAACATCCTTGATCAGTGCGGCTGTCAAGGGGTTGAAGAGCATCGTCGCGTGGCCGTAGATACTGCCAGCAGGGCGGCCGGGGCAGACAGACTGGACCTCGATATTGGTGACACCGACGCGGCGGGCATCGGTAAGGTAGGCGGAAGCAACGGTGCCTTGCTGGGGCTCGACAACCTCATCGAGAATAGCACTGTAGAAAGTTGTCGTGGGAACGTAGGCGTCGGCTCCTCCTCGGGAACGAAGGGTGTTAATGAAGACGGAGGTATATTGCTGTTGAATGACAGAAGGATCGCAGGGAGCGTTGAGGGCACCGTTACCGGGTGAAAGGCAGAGGACGTTGGCAAGAACGGTTCCGTGGAAGTCGGGAGATACTGGGAAGAAGTTGGCGACAGCATTTCGGGTAGAAGGCCAAAAGGTGAAAGCCCACTGGGTGTCCAGACCACCCTGAGACCAAGAAATGATGCTCGAGTTCTTGTTGCTGATGCCATTGATGTAGTTAATGGCATAAGCAACGTACTCGGAGTTGACCTGTGCGTCGCCAAGGAGAGCACCAGGAATATTGAGCCAGACGGGATCTGCGTAAGGGACGTTCGTGAGAAGCTTCAACAAGTTAGGGCTGAAGGTCTCTCCTCCGTAGACACCAGTTCCGGGAATGAAGATAACAGGAGGCTTCTGGCCGTAGGTGAAACTCTGGGGGATGTAGATGGCCTGGCGAAGCTGCTGCTCGGAGAGGGTGTATGGCGCATCGGAGGCATCTTTCTTGGGGTAGACAGGCTTGGCCGGGTTGACCGGGTTGTTGTTGCTTGTCGAATCGATGCCGTTGAAGGGAGCAATGAGCTTGTTGGCATTGTTGGCCAGGTCTAAGCTTCCCAAAAGGCCAGTGCCGAGAAGTCCCTGGAAGCTGGAGAGGAGGTTGTTCGGGACGAGACCTTGGCCGATTTGCTTTTGCAGCTTTCCGTAAAAGTCACCAGTGCTGCCCGTGTTCCAGATCGATCCGAGCTTCGTTTGGAGATCCCCGACGTTGAGAACTCCGGCGCCGACGCCGCTCCCGGGCTTCGTGCCAAGAACCCCGGTCAAGCTAGACACATAGTCGGTCGGAAGTGCCAGCAGCTGGGTTACGACTCCGAGACCGTCGAGAAGGCCGGCCGGGGCGGCATCAGCGGACTGCAGCAGAGCCGCGGCCAGGACGAGTTGCTGGATCTGTGAGCGCATTGTTGTAGTTATTATGTGAAGGATTGTGAAATTAGAAATGTACTGCTAATGATTAAGTAGGAAAGAAAAGACTGAAGACTTGAGAGAGAACGAATTAGGTTGTTTGTTGGAAGCTGATGACTTGGAGAGTTCAATGTCTCAATTCCGGATCAGGATCCGGAGCTACTTATATCTTGAGCAACGTAGGACTGAAATGAGGTAAGAGCTAGAACAAACTGTGGAAAGTATGCGCGCCACAACGTGTCCGAAGCTACCGGCATTGAAGGCCCCAGAGCGGATCCGTGACACTGCGCCTAAAGACGTGTTGGGCGTATTTAGGCAAGGCGTTGTGAGCGAGCTCTCTGGGGAGAGCTGGAAAACTTGACGATCAGCCAGCACTGGGGGATTCTTTGTCGATCTCTCAGGTGGGGGAACGAATGGAAATGCCCAATTCTCGGTGCTATTGCATGTCTTGTTGATCTTAGAGTTCAGTAGCGCTGCTAGGATTACTGTAATAGGAATCGCAGCCTGTCTAGCGCAAGACCCAAGTTCCTCCCGTGTAATCCGTCCCAAAGTCGAACGCTCGAGTGAAAATGTCCGAACATTCTTAGCCATCATACATCCCACCCAAGACACCGTTGAAGTCTATCCCGGTCCATAATGTAGGCTGGCTTTGTTTGGGGTCTTTAATGGAAGCCCGCGGGATGCCACCTTAGCTTCACCAAAGCGCCACAACATAGCGCCAAGCGTACAGTGGTTGCCAACTTACTCGTTCCCCCGCACAAAGAATGATTCGAAGAATGATTCGAAAATTCGTCGACGCTTGCAGATTGCCTCGGTATGGCTATTAGCCTAGTCTTTTGGTCCCAAAGTATACTCTCGTCATACCCTCTGAGCTTAATTCTATGCTGCCGTATTCTGGCCTCAACTACACTGCCTTGTCTCCACTTCAGCTACTTGTAAATATTGAAGAGAAACAACCTCAGCATACCGAATCTATATTTGCTGATTCTTCGTATGCCGTCAACCCGGCGCTAAACCATCCGATGGCGTCCTGGCAACCGTCGGTCCAAACTTTGCTGATAAGCACACGGTTGTAGGTAAACACGGTACACGGCCACTCTAGCGCATAGCTCGGACGACAAGCATTCTCTCTACAGCTGCCCATGGCATTCTCTGTAGTAGAATGCAACATGGAGTTGACATGTCTGCTCTGAGTGTCAACTTTTCGCCAAGAAATTCTCAAGGAATTCCCATTCGGGCATTGCTCAGAGTCAATGCGACGGGCCGATATCAGGTCGACGCAGAGCGCGCTCAGCGATTGTGTGAGCAGGGAACTTATGATTTCATGATCTCTTCGTATAGAAGAACTTCGAGAGTCTATGTTTCTTATTGTGGCCTGATACGGATAATGTAGATCACTCTCGCACCTCTTGAACAAGTCCTGGTCCCGTGGTTGAGTAAAAGTTATCAACGTTCAGACCTCGAAAGGCCCGATTGCCAGCATGTCTTCATGTTTTCTCAACTTCAATCGTAGGGACATTGCTCTGAGCAAATTAACTGGGACATGCGCGAGTAGAGAACACAACCTGGCAACGGAGCCTCTTATTTCCTCTGCCTTTTTCGTCCGGTCTTGCTCAGCAACTGATCTGTCTTGTCCAGAGGTGGGAGGCAGGCCGCTCACTTCGAGAAGGCCTCGATCACGGGAATGCTGCGGAAAAAGATAAAAGGTGTCATTATGTCTTCTTGAGACGGAACCTAGGTTAAACTAAATGCCTCAACTCCCGATTCACCCATTTTGTACATGTGCCCCTGCTACTTCAGGTATAGCGGTGTTCGAAGATACTGTCGAAGGAAGAGCGGCCACGGAAGAGTTTACTGCACATACCTGAGCTGGAGATGATTGGAACGCCATCGTAAAAAGAATATATTGTGACCTGCTCGAGTGACTGCCGTTCAGGGGCGAGAGCCGCCTTAAAGATAGCGTGCTGTGGTGTCTCGAAAGGATATCGGGGTCCAAGAATGAGTACTTGATGCCTCCGTGTACGGTGCCGAAGACCTTGGTGTTGACATTCGAGATTCAGCTTTTTGGGCTCTTCTTTCCCCTTTCAGCTCTGTTTTGCTCTCTCTGGAGGGCAATGTTTCTCTCATTCTTGACACCATTCTCTCTTCCAGCTCGCTAATGATTAACATAATACTCTGTCAGATGTTTTAAGTTATTACTCAGGCCATTATGGTGCGAGAGAAGACTCACCTTTGGTCTCCTAGGACGTCCATCTAAGTGAGGATATGAGAGATCGAAGTGATGGATTGGAGGAAGTTCATTCCGTCTTTACAGCAGTGAAATCTCGATTTATCGTATACGGTTGGAATCTTTGTGTGATTATCTGGCAATTTTCCTGTCAGTCATAGTGCTGTGTGTGTCAAAGATGAGTCTTCGCTGTAGAGACCTGGTACAGAATGTGTCCGACCGAATACGGGACATTAATTGGTGTCATAATATCACGGGTCTTCAAGAGGTACTTTGTCCAGGCAAACCCCTGAATCACTTACTAAGGCTCATCGGCAACTCGACACTTCTGGCCTTATAAGGAAACTTGAGACTCCAGGAACGCGCTGGCACTCTTCAATGAGTTCATGCGTATTGTTGGGGGCGGTTCATCGATGGGTTCGTTCGTATTCAGGGAGTTTTTGCATCCCCGCGGCATCCACGCCCCCCCTCGCGATCTGTTGAACTTCAAACAACCTGTATCGTGGGCAGATAATCTCTATCGAGAATCTTGACCCGGATCACAACTACGCGTATAGGATACGCATTCTCGCGTTTGAAGTGTCTGATTCACATGTCACCTACGGGGCGGTACTGCTGCACCTGCCACGACTGCCGCGCACTTCATCTTGACTCTCACTGCTATTAATACTTTATATGGAGAGCCTTCATAGCTGGATCTCGACATCTCACCTAAATGAAAGTCAAGAAGTTAAATTACTCATCTCGGCCAAATTTCCTCTCAATTAAGCCATTTGCCAACATGAGCATCTAGGTGAAGGTTCTTCCAGACTTTCATGGTACGGTGTCCCCCGGTTACTATACCTTTCGGGAGGGTAGAATACTTCACCAACATCGCGTCGATCAAGCGCAGATGTAACCGCAATGGAGGATTTAACGGCAGCGATACCGAGTAGAAGGACCATGATCACCCACTAATGACCGATCAGCAAGATAAGCACTTGGTGCAGCAGATCACAAAGCCCAAAATCATGCCGTCCCAAATTCCTCAACATTCTCGAAGCAACCGACCGACAAGAATAGCGCATCATCCCATCTTTCCACGAAACGGCCCCCAGAAGCGACACACTCTCCACACACACTCGCACAGGCGCGGGCAAGAGACAAACTTGCAGAAAATCTCCATCAGCACGTAATTCCCCAAAAGGGCCCCCGTTTACCGCCACGCACATCACTATCATAGTATGTGGGCGGCCCCTATAACGTCTGAAGCAAGTAATTTAAGATCAGCCCCCAAACTTCCCATCCTGCGCCCGCCGCAGTGGAAACACGGCACAGACACACCAGCCATCATCGGCAATTTATGTTCCCAAGTAAGCGATGTTCCGGCAGTCAGTGGTCCGTCGTGGGCACACGCTTCTGCTTACTAGGTCCGCGAGCCGATGACAGAATCGCATGCCCACTTTCTTCTCAAAAGGCCCCGGTGCGGTGGCGGGTTGACCCCGGGGCCGGCGGGGCCGTGGATGTTCATTGTCTAGGGGGCGCAGTCCTCCCGCACTCCGTTCTCACCCGGCTTCCCTTGGCTGGCTGAGTGCCTGTTCTAGTGGACTTGACCCTCAAGGTCCTCGCAGATCCGTATCATATAATGTTCCATATAACCTATACTCAACCATTTACTATTACGTCTTGTGTCGAACCAAAAGAATCTGATCATCAATACAAATTCTTTTTCGTACTCTTTCCGAGTCCGAATTCTTCGGGCTGTGTGATGCGTGTGATGTGTGGCTGGATACTGAATGCAACTATCTTTGGTGCCGAATTCCTCGGACATCTGGTGCTGTTCAAAAGTTACATTGATGAGCGTGTGTCTGGTTTATACACTTTGCCACTCATCTCGTCTCTCGGCCCCCTTCACACCTTCACCGAAAGGCACCACCCGAACTCCAAGACATGTCAAGAGGGAAACGCCACGTCAAACTTCCAAGGGCTTTTCTATGTACCTCTAAGCCTAGTGAAGCTGCTGGTTTAAAGCAGACCAACATGGTCAACAAGCCAGCCAGATACAAGTATTCCAACATCACTCACGCCTTCTCTGACATTCACCAACACGGCCAAATCAAAGCGTGTACAGTGAGCCTGCAACAGACACACCAATCAGAACGGCACTAAGTGTGCCGTACAAACCCGACTCCATCGCTCTTTTGTCATCGACAATCATACCTCATGAGACGTCGCGGCAAACTCTATGCCCTTCAACCCCCTGTATCCCTGTATGGTCCCTCACATAGCGCAGACAGGGCCGTCGACAACGAAATCCCCTCCTCGATCACTCTCTCGAGTCTCATCGAGGTCCCTGCGTCTATTTCGCCCACTCACACACGACAAACACCCTTCAGGATACCATCCTAGACTCTGTCTTGTACGAGCAACAAGGCCTCTGATCTATAATGCGCGCCACTGCTATGACATCAAAATCTGCTATGCGTTCTCTTTTCGCTACTCCGCATTTCCTCTCGATCATTTACCCGTTCCCAGCATGGAAGATGGCGAATGATCGACGTATCCGGGTCTGGTAAGAAGTCAGGACCAAGGCAATCCTTCCTTGCCTTCCCCGCGTCAAGTTCGCGGAGTAGCGGCCAAGGCAATGAAGAAGAAGGAAAGACGATTGAACGATACTCTGACCTTGCAGCAAACCTAACTAACACTACGCGTGAGATCCAAGGCCAGCGGCACTGCATCCGTACCTCTTCGGCTCTCTTCCCCTCCAACGTCACATCGAAGCACAACGAGAGCCGCAGAGCGCTCCCCTGCCGATCATTACCCTACCATGAAGCAACGGCTGAAGACGTCCCCGATCCCCTCGAGCCCCCCAGCCCTCAAGTGTGCCCCTGCACTCCTTGGGAGTTGAGTCCACTTACAGTACCACCCACCAACAAGGCCGTAGGGCGCTGCACGTGTTGGTGACCGAACCGAGAAGGCCGGTAAACCACATCCTTTCCTCTCTCCCCCCCCTTCCAGCCTCTGACGGGCCTTTCGTGAGAAAGGACAATACCGTTTGGGTGGTCGCTGATCCGTTCGGATGCGCTTCCGATCATGACAGGTTCTGGAGTGCTGGTAGCATCCTTCCCTTCCTCTCCATGCCACCATACCTCGTTAGCGCCTTCTACATGTCTGCTATTCTTGTGCTGCTTCATGATGGTCAAGATGTCATGATGATTGATGTCAACCAATAGGCCCTAGTGCCCATCATCTTTGTTTCCCACGCTAGCGTCGTCGTTCCCCATCCGAGCTCGTGTTTTCTCAACCCTTCTACTCCGTACCAGACTTGTAGATCACGGATAGATGAGGGATAAGCTTAAGTCACGTCAGATCGAGTCTTGACTAAGTAGGTAGTTCAATCTGTCACCTGTTTGCCACATAGGATAAAATGCAAGAAGAAGGAACAGCGTATAAAGTTCATAAAAGTTGATTTCTCATGAGCCGTAAACTAAAAAGAAAGGGGGGAGTGAGAAAAGAAACCACCCCGTCATCAAAAAGTGTCAAGGTATCACACCACCATACACCACCCCATCCATCCCTATTGATCTTTTTTTATACAAATGCCATCTCCGTATGGTTTGCCTCACGCCAAATCTCTATCTTCAACATCGTCGCCATCTCCAGAGACGACAGGGCTACGGCAGCTCATACAGACTCTTCTTCCTCCCCTGTGGTTCCGCCACCACAATCGCCTCCTTGCCATCAATCTCCGCCATCTGATAATCCCCGCCCAATCCGCCGGGACTCCCATCCCACTCACTACTCGCCTTCCTCACAGTCATCATCCCAGGCGTCGCCGACATGTTATACGTCCCCGTCCCCATGGAGCTAACCGTCCCCGTACCCCCGTTGTGATTCATATTGTGAATATTCATCCCCCCATACGCGATCCGTCCGGTATGCCCAGTATTCGACCTCGAAAGATCGCTCGCCCCGCTGCTGCCGCCGTACCCGCCATTGATACTCGACCCATCGAGCTCCACGGGTCCCCGGCGAGACCTCTCCTTGCGTAGGTACCACATCACGCCCACCGCCACGAGCAGCGCACCACCCACACTCGCGCCGACACCCAGTCCCACAACAGCCACGTTCCCGATGCCCTTCTGCCCGCTATCTCCACTGCTTCCGGTATTCGTATCCGCTGTCGGCTGGCTGGCTTCCGCGCCGCCGGGTGTGGCGGGGATCTTGCTCGTCATCGTCGGCACAGCCGTCATCTCGGGCGTCTGCTGCGAGGGGTAATTGCTACCGCCCGTGATGCCGGCGCGTCCTGATCCTGAGGGCGTGGGCGTGGACTTGGCGCCCGTGTTGAGGGTCTGCACGGCGACGGCGTTGCCGGGTGTCGCGGCGATGAGGGGCCCGAAGATGGCGGGCGGCGTGGAACAGCATCTCGTCTTCTCGGCGGCGGATTCGCAGCAGAACTTGCCCGGTACGCCGAAGCCTTGGCTGTCGCATTGCCATACCTGAACACCGTTGAATCTGAAGTCGTATGCCGTGTTATTTTTCCTCGTGTCGGGGTCTGTTGTCTTTATGTTAGTACTCCTGTTCCTTCCTTAATCCAACCACCTCTCCATCTCAGATTCGCCAGTCTCGGTTCATGGTCTTTCCTGAAAGACTGTTCCCCTGTGTACTCGCAAAGGATTCTTCAAAGACTTACTTAGTACGCAATGCTGCGGGCAAATTGGACTCTGCCACGTCGGATCCGAACACGTTCCTCTCGCGTACGCAATACCCGTGTTATTCGACGTATCCTCAAGCTTGCATAGCCCATTGCTCAAACACGCATTCACGCTTCCGCAACACATGCTGACTTCGGCCTTGGGATCGCACGGGACGTCCAGACTCTGCACGCCGCCGGGGAAGAAGCACAGGTTCGCCGCGGCCCGGGCGCCTGTTACGAAGCCGCTGCTGCTGAGCAGCGTGAGCAGCACCGCTTTTGTCGTCGTCGTCTTCATGATTGCTGCTGTTGAAATTGAATTTGAGCCCGGTAAGAGAGGCCGGGAGTAGTTTGACTGAGCCAGTTGATGCCTTTTCCCTCCCGAACACGCTTGACCTCGCTTATACCAATGGTGGACGGAAGTCGATTCAGTGATAAGAATACGTGTAGTCGAGAGAACCAGCCTCTATTGTTGCGAAACAGTCGTAAACAATCGTTCAAAAGAGCCGCAAACGTGTCGATCGTACAAGGCGGGGATGCTTGATGACGAAAGGAACGACGAGTCTGAGGCTCCGGCCCCCAAAAGGCTGGTATGTTTGTTCGGGGAAAGGAGGTCGGAAAGGGAAGAGAAAGCCCGACGGCGAGGAGAATAGGTAGAGGGAGTGATTATGAGATGGAGGTGGTGGTATGTGTAGAAGAGGGGTGGGGGTGGGCGATGTGAGAGGAAGAGTAATAAGACGTTCAGTCAGGTATAATAGCTGGGCTGTGGGTGGTGGTGTGCCAACGTGTTTGAGGTAAGGCGACAACCTTCGCTCTTTCTCTTCCAAGGGATTTCGAAACAGGAACCAACTTCGAGAAGACAGAAAGACCAGACGGACCAGGGCAGTCAGTATAGAGAGAAGGGCAAAGATAAGTAGAAGGCTCTTCGATCCTCCCCCGTAGGATTAAGATTACCTCCACGAGAAGGCGCAGTGTTTAAACAAGAAGAAGAACAAGCTGAAAATGAGTGGAAGGGGGGTTTGGTTCTTTCTGCTCGGGTTTCGTAGAGATGGAGAGGGAGAGAAAACGTAATCAACACGTTCTCATCTTCAGAGGAGGGGGAGAAGGAAAGCAGGAAGCAAACAAAAAAGGAGCGAGAAGAAGTTGCAAAGAAAGTCCGAAAACCTTCCCTCCAAACGAACGAGAGAAGAGCGGCGCAGCCAGACCTTAAGAGAAGTCACATATCCCAAACTCCCCTCCACGGCAGTTTGGATCCGTGCTTCCTCTCTCTCTCTCTCTCTCCACCACATCTGCCCCATACCCAGAGTTCGCCTCTTGGATCGGTCTCGTGAAGAAAAGTTGCCCAGGTCCCAGGAGTGAAGTAGGGGGGGGGAAGAAAGGTCCCGTTCTCCACGAACATCTCGCCGGCAGCACGCCGACCCGGGGGGGTCATACTACCATGCCACTTTACAACTCTTCACTGATACTATGTAATGTGTAAGTAAGCCAGCCCAGCCCAGCCGCAGCCGCAGCCGCACCCAGACAAGACCATACTGCGTACAGAACGTACACAAAAGACGGTGGATCCCATCCTCCAAGAGCCAAGCCGTGGTGCTTGTCCTGCAGCGCCCAGCGTCCCAACTTTGAGGGAGAGACCGGGGTGGAGGGGCAGACGATTGACTCGATTGACTCGTCCCATGAAGAAGAGGCCCCCCAGACCTGGCCTAAAGAAGCAGTCAAAAGACAGGAAAGAGAGAAAAGGCGACCAGGGATCATGGTGTCAGCGACGGGTAACGCCGTAGCGCCATCTGTGGGAACTAACAACCCAGGCCCATGGCCTAGTTTCTGCCCAGCAAGGCCAGCCATCGTCAATGCCGTTCCAACTCCTTCAGCAGCTTTCCCACCTTCTTCTCTCTCTCTCTCGCACCAGTGAGTGTATCTGTAATTGTGGCATCTTTTCAGGGTCCATGACTCGCCGCAGGGTTTCCTGGCTGCCCAGCACCGCAAGCATCCGCCCCACGCGCGCGTCTGGTTTCAGGTTATCTGCCGCTGCGACCTTCTCTCCAAGAAACTCAAGACTCAAGAATCCCAAGTTTGCCAACACGAGGCCGGCCGAAGCTGGTTGCAGGAACCTGCTTTTCTTCCATAAGCTACGGATACCCATCCGTACGGAGTACAGAAAGATCATACCTCGATTCGGCCTGTTGTAAACTTCGTGCTGCCATGGTCGGAATCGAATCCTCCAACAAGGATTCCACGGGCCTTTCTAAAGACACACAGACTACGTCAAACATCACACTCAGAATCCCGCCATCGGAAACCTCAAGAGACTCATATTCCTCGTGTCCCCCTCACGCACTCTTTTATCCCCATTCGATCGATTCCGCCCAGTCCTCCAGGCCCCTCCATCCTCTTCAGCCGCGCCGGACATGGGTCCGTCGTAGATAGAGTCATGGTTCAACACCACCGCACACATACGGCGCCTTGGCGTCCGTATACCATATAACTCCATGGTCGAATCCACCGGTCTTTCCTTTCGCCTCCCCCTCACCCAAGCGAACGCTCTACGATGGTTCAGGAGAGCCAGGGCAGGCCCCAAGAAAGAGCGAGACTTTCTCCCTGGGTATCGCCTTGCCTTATTTGCACTATGCAGCTCCAAAGCCAAGATTCGCTCGCTTAGAGTAAAGTATTGACTCTCGGCAACATCTAACGATTCCCATACGGATAGACCCATACATGACATACCCAGCAAGACGCGGGAACAGCCACTGCCACTGGGCAGAAAAAGAAAACCCACCTCCCCTCCCCTCCCCTCCCTCGACTCGAGGGTCCGCTTCTCTCTAGCATCCATGATCACTAACCACACAAAATGCCATTCCTCTCTCTCCCTCCCCATACGGCTTAGTGCACCAAACCCTCCCTCCTCAGCCTTGCATCGGTTTCTCCGGGGGGTGTGGTCGCCCGGTAGTCTCAGAGAAAGAGCACGCACTCTATTCTTGGTGAATGCTGGGTATAATACATGAGGAACTGTAGAAAAAGGCAAAAAAGAAAAAAAGGCGTCTTGTGAATTACTCCTGCGTCCCCTTCCCTCCCCATCCCATCCTCTATTCCTCAAACCCCGGACTCGCCACCCGTTGTTTCCTTCCCAGTTCCGAGTCAAAAGACGAGAAGGGGAACGGGCCAAGTGTGTGTATGTGTATGTGTATATGTCCTATCCGTCATGTCATATCCGTCGTCTTGTCATCTTTGTCATTTCCGTATTCCATCAACCCCGGTTTTCCTCCCTTTGGCCCTTTGCATCGTATGTAATAAGTCTCTTCGTTTTCGCATAGGGGCGATAGATTTCCTCCAGAACCCCGTGTATTGTCGTGTCGTCAACGGGGCAGCCCGTTCCCATCTTCCATCCCACCTCGCCGGTCAGGCGGCGGCGACGACTCGCGAGCGAGCATGTGCTCGTCTAGTGCCCCACCAAGCATTACCCCTGTCTGTCGTTCCGCCTCACACACAGCTGCCTGGACCATCATACGGTTCACGCCGCAACATCCTCCTCGTCGAGGGGTTCAACCCTGACGAGAATTTCCTCCAACAGCCCCTCGAGGAACGTGCCAACGTCCCTACCCATACCCACGGGCTCCGCCTTGTCGTAGTGGTCAATCTCTTTACACACATGAGCGAGCTTATATACGAGCTTCCGCAGCTTCTCGTGAGCCGCCTCTGCTCGTTGCTGCTTTGGTGTCACCTGGTTCATGGCCACGAGGCTAGACGAACCCTGTTGAGGTCGGAATGCCTGTTGCAGCCTAATTTGTCTCCTCTTTAGCGCCTCCTCGAGTGCAGGGAAAATGACATCGTTCAAGGCGTCCAGCTCCCCATTGGGGTTAGACGGCGCTGGCGGGGGAAAGGACGAAGGAGCCGCGGGTTCAGGAGTAGGTGTCTGCGTCTTTGAGGGCAGCGCGTACGCCTTCGGTGGTGGAGGCGGCGCCGCCTGTCCAGACGGTTGGCGATATTGCCCATTCGGAGTTTGACTCGGTATCCTGACCGGCGTTTGTTGTGCCTGCGGGCTGCCGCGGTATGGTGGGATTTCTGGAAGAGTAATCGGTGCAAACTTGTTGTTTGGCCGAGGCCCATGGAGAGGGGGCCGCGGGGGTGTAGCATCGTCGAGGTGTTGCAAGTCGGCGGGCTGAATGACAGGGCCTAGACTCATCAAGCCCATGTCCTTCTGCAACTGAACCTGCAATTCTCGGTCGTAGTCCGGAGATTGGCTGACCGGGACGGCAGGAGGAATCAATCGAGAGATGGGCCGCGGCGTCTCTGGACCCCCTCCTCCTCTTTGCAACTTCTCAGGCGACATTGGAAGAGGCACCTTGGCCGGCGACTGGGGCGCAGGCGCAACTGACGGTACTGGCTTCCGTTGCGGCGATGCCTGTCGAGAGGTCCCCGTGTTGGCACTAGCCGCCTTGAGGGTATCAGAGGCGATGGCGAGGTCTCGGCCGAAGTCGCGAATCTTGGTCGGACTGCTGTCTCTCGAACGCTCTCCGTAATCATCTATGCTTTCCGTAGATCTCGCCGCTCTGGCGTTAGTGGCAGACTCGTCCAGGGCACCAAGTCCGGGACGAGGAACGACGCCGCCGCGATCTCCCACAAGCCTCACTGTGCCGAAATCCCACATGTCCTCGTCGACCTGCCGGCGCTCGTAGTATTCTTCGCCCCCTTGGTCACTCTCGTCATCGTCGCCCTTGTGCGTCGCAGCCCACCGGCTGTGGCGCTCGATGAGCTCGGTTAGGTAGCTCGTTTTCTTCGCGCGGCGTATAAACGGATGCTTGAGCAGGTCCTTGGCCGTAGGCCGGTCCTTGGGGTCCCTCTGCAAACACACCTCGATGAAATCTTTGAATGCTTTTGTAAAGTTTCCTTCCAGCCGTGGCGGAGGGTTCTTGGGGATTAAAAACAACACCTTCATGGGGTGAATATCAGCATATGGTGGCTCGCCGTTGGCAAGCTCCAGCGCCGTGATACCAAGCGACCAGACGTCAGCTTTATGATCGTACCCTGACTGCTTGATTACCTCGGGGGCCATCCAGAAGGGTGTGCCGACGAAAGTATTCTTCTTCGTCATGGTAGCCGAGAGCTGACCCGAAACGCCAAAATCCGCGAGTTTAACCTGCCCGTTGGAGCTGAGTAGCACATTGGCAGCTGGATACGTGTGTTAGCTCCAGGAAAATAGCAAAAGGTGCGCATTGCAAAGTGATCAACTTACCTTTGACATCGCGGTGCAGCTTCTTGTCCGTGTGCAAGTAATCGAGACCGAGTAGCAGCTCGCGAATAACGATGGCAATGTAGTCTTCGCCAATCAGACCTGGCTTCATGAGGTCTGCGCAGCTTCCACCAGAACAAAACTCCATGACAATCCATAGCTCCGCCCCCTTGGCATACGAGCCGTAGTATTTCGTCACATAGGGGGACTGCAGTTCGGACAGGATGGCGATTTCCTGGATAATGTCTTCGACCTCATCCTCGGCGCTCTCGATATCAATAATCTTAATGGCTACGGCATGACCGGTGCGCTTGTCGACTCTATACGTGTACGAGTTACAGTCAGTCCTCTGGTGCTTCTCGCTGGAGAGGGGAGGGGAATTGGACGGTACTGACCCCTTGTAGACCTTGCCAAAGCTTCCTCCACCTAGACAAATCCAGTGTATTAGCAACATGCCGCCTCAAGCACGGAAGCGGCGCGCATACCGATGCAGTATTCCTTGGTGTAGAGCAGCTCGGGATCAAGCGCCTCGTTGCCCTCCTCGATATCCCTATCGCGATCGCCCATGATTACGGTCTAGCGCTGCGAAAGGAGGGTGGGGTGTTCCCAGCAGAAAGGATCGGTCGTTCAATTGACGCCGCGCAACAACAGAAGGCTGACCTGTCGGGAGCTGTCGCCTGTCGCGAAGGAGAGGATCGCGGGGTTGCGAGGGGTCCGAAAGTTCGTCAGCGCGGTGGGATTGGCGGTAGTTCGGCGTCGGCGCGGTGGTGGTTCGTCTCTGATCCGATGCCTGCTGTCGTCAGGCAGAGAAATGTTCGGTTGGCGGGAAATTGACTTCTCGGGCTGGAAAGTCTCTTTTTCCCTTGGTGCTCGGGCAGCGGGCAGCGAGCAGCGGGCAGCTGGTTGAAGAGGGGATCCTGGAGTTGAGGGCGAGCGACCTGAAGAGGGACAGAGGCGGTGGGGGACGACGGATACGGCTTGTCGTCGTCGAGCTGAGGTAGAAGCGATTGAGACCGGGCTAGGTAGTCACAGGTGGCCCCCGAGAAGGCTGGTTTTGAAGGCCCAAACTAAGAAGAGAGAGAAAGCGATCTGGTTCAAGGCGGGCGATTAGCAAAAAAGGTGCTAGAGACAAAGTCGGCCGGAGCCTAACGGTGATTAGTTCCCAAGGGGGCGGCGTCAATCGTACGTGGGCTCTTGTCGCGTGTCGAATGTCTCGTCTCTCCTTTTTCTTCAAGATGCAGAGACAGAATGACGAGGTAAACAAGGGGAGGGGGAAACCACAACAGTAGCAGTGAGTAGGTAGGCGAGGTAGGTAGGTGAGGATGAGAGAAAAAAGTTCCAGAGGTGGTGGTGAGACACTGTAGCGGGCCGCTGTAATTCGCGTTCCTCGCGAGTCGGTGGATTTGGTAGAGCCAAAGCAAAGGGAGAGAGGGAAGGAAAGACGTCAGTGCCACGGGCCACGGTACTAGATGAAAGTCCGTAGGCACAATAGAAACAGCAGGGGATATTCAAGAGACCTACAGAGTACGGATAGAGATGGGCAATCTCAAAGTATGGCAAGGGAGAGCCGCGCAAAAGAGAAAGCGTCGTGGGGTTGCGGTTGGTACCTGTGCTTTGGTCCAAGAGAACGACGGACGGGAATCTGATGTTTGGGCACACGAGGCAGAGTGTGGGGTAGCAAGAGACGGTACCAAGCCAGACCGAGACCAAGCAGTCAGGCCTCTAGACGGTTGAAAGGCCACAAAGAAGAGGGCGGTGGTGTGGCTGTCTTTGCGTCGTCTTCGCTTTCTTGAATGTTGTCTTGGGATGTTGTCAATGTTTGGGGTGTGGTCTTGGTGTTGGTGCTAAGGTAAGGTAGTCCGGGGCTTGGGCTTTCGTAGGTACCCAGGTAGGTAGGTACCTTGAGATTTGGACTGTTTTGGTAAGATCGACTTCCCAAATACATATGAACAGAAATGCGACGTTCCAGGCGCAAAGAAATACTGAATCTTAAGGTGTCCGTAAGGCAGATTGGAATGGCCAAAGTAGGGTAGAAACAGAAACAGGAGGTGTCTACCTTATTGGACCTCCCATCGCCCGTTGTTTATGCCATGATCTGAAATGGTAACCGAGGGGTCGGTTCACCAGCAACCACTGCTGTTGATGTCAATTGGGTTCCAAGGTTCCCCTCATCCCACCTCAAATATCCCCCCTGCTATCCGTATGGTCCTCGAGATGGCCCTGTCCAGTGAAAACGTCAGCGACCTCTGGCAGTCAAAACAATAGAATCCCGTAAGGTACCTTACTGCGCAATGCATTATCGGCAACGTAAGCGAGCGTGCACAGATCACATCTTGCTTTGCTTATCAAATGGCATCGCACCTCACAGAATTGACCCAAACGCTGCCAACCAGACATCCATCTCCCACCTCTCCCTTCACCATCTCACCATCTCACCATCTCAGCTTCAACAACACCAACATCAATATAGGTACTAGCCCCATACCTAACAAGACGAGAGCAACCCACCACATCCAATCACCCCTCCATTCATCTCGCATGCAGTGACACGTCCCGTCCAGGAACCCGTCCGTCATCCCCCTCTGATTGGTTGCCCTCCAACCGGCGCCACCACCGATGCCCAGGTGAGCCAAGCACGCTTCCCAAAGATAGTTCATGCTCTAGCCTAGTGAAACACCCACATCTCTCAGCCCAAGACATCTCTACTTTCAGACTTCGACCTGTCTTTGTTCCTGTGGCTTCTTCTTTTGGTGACCTTGCCGTCGATTCCGTTCAGCCCTGAGTGTCGGTATCCACTAATACTTCTACACTGAATACGGCAGAAGAGGCTGGAATTGATTGGCATCGGATCGTTGGACGTTGATACTCGATTCATTACACGCGATAGGGAGACATGCGCGTCAAGTCATTCTCTAAATGCGCGTCTTAATGATTCAAACCGTATCACAACGCGACCAGCATAGCTTTCGTTTCCCTGTCTATTGATGCCGTCTCTGTGTTAACAAACGTCTACCTACGGTGGATGGCCGTCCAAATCTTCCGGCCCGCTGTTTGACTCTGTTGAGCTACCCGTGGTCCTCGATAAACTACGTCCTTCCATGCCTGCCTGCCTGCCCTCGCCGGATATCGTGGTATGTATGAGAAGAGCCCAAACGAACAATGTTGAAAGAAGGCTTCCTTCCGCCTGTCCAGTTCCGATTCTATCGGCCATGCCCTGGCCCTGGCCCTGCTTGAATAAATGCACCTTGCCCGTAACCGACGCTTCTAGTCCTCAATGAACTCAATCATTACGGTGCCGTTCTTGAGGCCGGCTTCCATGATGGTCGTGTCCAACCCGTCGCTCAAGTCTTGGCCCTGCGGCATACGCTTCAATTCAACCTCAACCCCTTCCTTGCCCTCGAGGGGCTCAGCCTTGAGCCACTCATAGATGCGTCTGACCGGGTCGTCCAGATTGAACCGACGGATAACACGTCCAGTAGGGTGTCGGAATTGTATCCTCGTCGTCGTTGCCGGGTTGTTCTCTGGCTCCGTGTGCGGCTTGTCGCTCGCGATCTTGGCCCAGGCGCTCTGCGCTGCTGCCGGCTCAGCAGGGGGGGTAATGCCGCCTGCTGCCTCTTCGACTGGGGAAATGCCCTGGCCTCGGCCACTGGACGAGTCTGACTTGGTCAGCGCATCGGGATCGAATACGCTCGTCTTGGGCTTGGAGCTGCTGCTGCTACCGCCGTTGGACGCCGCAAGACTGTTCTGCAATGCCATCTCGAGCATTTCGTCCTCCGTCATTCGGTCGACATCGACGGTCTTGGGGCGTGGCGCTGCTTGATCCACTACGGGGTTCTTGCTGTTCGCCGCCAAGCTATAGCGGTCCAGGAACTCGGCCAGCTGCGCGTGGAAGTCAGATGCGCTGGGGAACGGTCTTCCACTCCAGACCTTGACCTGCTCTCCCGTTCTCGGATCGATGATAGCGACATGCGGATAGTTGTCGGGGTTCTCGTGGCCGGTGCCGTGGAAGTAAAAGTTGATGTACTGCTGTGCTGCCATGGCGTCCTTGTCGTACTGCAGGAAGATGAAGGCATCGTCCAATAGCCTCCTGATAGCCGCATCTTTCCAAATATCCCGATTCAAGGCTTGGCAGTTGAAGTCGCTCATGTCCTGGAGGTTAACCAGAATCCACTTCTTCTCGTCCTTGCCCTCCTGTCTCGCCTCGTCCCACTCCAGTCTGGACATGATGTCGTAGGGCGGCCGAAACAGCTCTGCCAGTCTCTGGGCTCGCGTGCCGCCTTCCGTTGCAGCGGGTTGGGCGGGCTGGGCGGCAGCTGGGCTGTCATCATCCCAAATGGACAGGTTATGAGCAAAGGGGTTTCCACCACCAGCTGATGTCCAGAAAGTCAGCATGGCAAACCCTAGGGAGTAGACATGGCCCAATACATACCTCGAGCTGCCCTGGCGGCTTCTCTCTGTCTCATTTGTGCCCGGATGATGGTGTCCATGTCCATACCATCGTCACCGTCGTAACCTCCAACCAGCGTCTCGGTGGTTCTGGCGATGGGTGATCTGACATCATCATGGCCACCGCCAATTCCAGCGCCGCCGCCACCACCTCCTCCAGGACCACCGCCGTAAAGTTCCTCTTGTAATCTCTTGGCCATGGCGGCATCCTCTTCCTCTTGGGCACTTCGGGCAATGGCCGCCACCTGTTCGTTTGCCGCAATCTCGGAGTCGTCGTGTCCAAAGTTATCGTCCATATCGTCCACCGTCATGGCAGTATCGCCATCGTCATCACTATCTATGTGAATGACCCCACGCTCATCCTGCCGTCCAACATTCGGTCGGGTGCTCGAGGGCACTGGGGGCGCTGTCGAAGAGGTGGCGGCTGGCTGGTTGAAACTGCTCTGAATGTCGGGGTTCTCGAAGAAGAGCTGTATGGCCTGCTCCAGATTGTTGTTGGTCATCTCCAGGAAGCCGCGAGCGGCCTCCGGGCTGGCTGCCGTAATGGCGACGAAGTTGGAGATATCCTCGTCCATGGCGAAGGTGTGCGCTTAGCGGTGTTAAGGTCGCTGAGAAGAGTTTGGCTTCGTGCGTGGCTTCGTGAGATGTCCTTCAGCAGATGGTACCGGCCAGCAATCAGTCAAAAGATATCTTTTTTTTTCTGGTGGCGGTCAGAAGAGTGAATGAAGAAGGGTCGCTGAAGGTGGGAGACGGATGGCACCTCTGCCCCACCTTGAACCGAAGGTGCTGGAGTCTGGCACGGGGCGGAGGGGTAGCTGCAGGTCACCGTCGGGAGCGTTCTTTGGGTCTAAATTGTCTGGCCCCGTCAAGTGATGAAGTCCAAGGCGGTTTCCAAACAGACAACTTGAAAGAAAGTCGATAGCTTCAGATTCAGCTTCTTGTTGGGGAAGGAAAGGCAAGGCTGGTTTGGTTGGTTTGCGCCGCCACTGATCTGAGGACGGGATGGTGTTGCGGGCTTGCCCCGGCGCGTGTTAAGGCAACTGAGTGCAGGCACGGGTGGAAGCGCAGGGCAGGTGCTGCTATCAGGCCAGTGCCACCCTCAAGGCGTCCAACTCTGTGACGCAACCGCCGGTCGAGCCTCGGAGCCATCCTTCCTTCCCTGGGCCTGTCTCGGAGAAATGGCGGAATGTTGATGCGATGAGGTGATTTACTGCGCCACGAACACCAAGGTGCTCAATCTCGTGTGGCTGATCTTGTGGCTTGTCCTCAGCCACACAAGAAGCTGTTTGTCTTGAAGAGCATCCAAGGCAGAGCATTGCAGCCCGCTTCTTTCTTGCTCTGACTATAGGCACAGGTCCGTCTCTAGACTCATCCTGCCTCGGCCTTCCATTTCTATCAACATCAAGATATGAAGATATAGCTTTTGCTTTTGGTTTTGCCATCTCAAGAAACAGATATGTAGCTGAGCGTCGCGATGTCCCGCACCCACAAATTTCAAGATGTAGGAATCTTACTACCTGCGAATAGGCCCCTGTCAAGGAAAACTATCATTTAGGCTTCCTGTAGTCTGCCGCACTATTTAAAGGTAACTAGCCGGTGTAGTCTGTCATGGATCAGAGGATTCACCCAAGCTTCGAGGCAGCAGCACCGGGACTAGACATGAACCTCCCTGGCTTGCGACTCCGAGCCGGTGCCATCCATCTATACGTAACCAACCTTAGCTACATAAAGTGCGCTTCAGAATTGTCTCATTGGTTCTGCCCTCTTTCCAGTATCTCTGATGTGTACACCTACGAATCATTTCCGCGAAATCAGTAGCACATTGAGAGGAAGGTTAGCGTCATTGTAACAGTCATTCCAGTAAAGAGCAAGTTCTAATATAGGGGTATCAACACCCCGCGAGCCATATCCTGCCGCCGCGCGGCCAAAAACATCCATCTCTCCTGGAGAAGTAGGAAGGTATCTTCTCCCCTCCCTCCTACTTCTCCAGCTCCGCGAGGATCTCCTTGAGGTGTTTCTGCACCTCAAGGGACCTCTCAGCCCCCAATGCCTTCTTCACCATCTCCACAAACCCCTTCCTCTCCTCCGCCGCCGCCGCTCCCTCCCCAAACACCCCACGCTGGATGGCCTTGAATACCCCGCCAATGGCGAGGACCCGCATCGTACGCTGGGCCTCGGTACCGTTGTCGACGGACTCGGGATCCAGGCTGCGGAGGTACGCCAAGGCAACCTCCTTCTCGTTGCCGACAGGGGTGCTGGAGGCGGGGGCAGGCGCAGCCTCCATCAGGTCCTTGACGGACTCGTACCACACCTCCCGCTTGATGCCCTCGAATTTGGCGTTGTCGAGGTATGTCTTGAGAAGGTCAAAAATTTTCTTGAGCACGGCACTGGGGTTCTCCTTGATATCCTTGCGGTTATAGCCCCGCGCGACAGTCTCAATGCCGTTGACGGCCGCCTTACGCGTCGCGTCGCCGGAGCTGTCGACATCCATCCGGTCCTCGTCGATGAAATCGTCCAGAGGTCCGCTCACAATGGTGGAGATAGTCTCGAGAAGATCCAGGTCATCGCGCTGCTCTGCAAATTGCCAGAGAGCCTTGAAGGCGTGCGGGCGGTAGTCCTCGTTGTTTCTCTTAGCCTCGCGAATCGCAATCTTTTGCTGCTGCGCGGCGATGGTCGAATCGTTCTCCCAGAGAGCCTTGCCCTTGCCGACGAACTGGGGGAAGGACTCGAGAACCCTTTCCTTTCCGGGGAAGGTCTTGAGCGCGAGCGCCTTGTCGAGAACGGGCCAGATGAGCTTGAGATTGGCCTCGGACATTTGTCCCCCAGTAGCATCGCTAGAGGCAACAACGGCCTTGATCATGCTCGCGATGCTGAAGGCGGCGGTATGCTGAAGGTTCCATCGCGGCGCCTCGAGGCCTCTCTTGATGAAGCCTACAATTTCGGGGACGTAGCGCGCGACGGTACGAGAGCTGCCGCCGTGCTGATTCCAGACTTCGTCGAAGCACTTTCGGGTATACTCGTCGGTGTCGTGCATGCCCATGTAGGTGAACGGGATGAACTTGGCCGCCAAGGCGTTGAAGTGGTCGGGTGCCAGCTTGGAGACACCGAGAACAACGTCGGATACCTTGGCGCGGCGGGCCTCGTCTTCGCTGGCAAAGTAGAATTCGGTAAACTTGTCGACGAGCCGCTCCTTGGATGCATCGGGAACGATGCGCATCAGGTATCCCGCGGCTCTGGCATAGCCCTTGCTGACTTCGTCGTTGCGGTCGAGTGCTTGCTTCTCCATAATCTGCATGAACTTTGGTGATACCGGCTTGAAGTCGACGGCGTGGCGCATGACCAGGTCGCCAATCAGTCTAGCACATGCAATCTTGGTCGGCATGCCAATGGCGGTCTTGATGATGTCCTCGAGCTTCGGCGCAAGCTGCTTCATTCCGTCGGCGTCCAGTTGTCGGAGGCAGTTGTCGATGGCTTCCGAGATTGGCGATTGATTGACCCACCTAGCTCTGAGCTTATCAAGCTGGTCACGGGAGTCCTCGCTGACCTTCTGGTAAGCGTAGTTGATCTGCTCTGGCTCGATTGTGCTATGAAGGCCCAGGAGAGGAGGGATGAAGTCGACAATGAAAGGCTTCAGATTGGGGCCACCCTTCTTAGTGATGTCGATAATCGTCTTGAGCGAAAACATCTTGACGTCGTCGACACCGCTCTCGAGACCGCTGGGCGAAAGGAGGAAACGGAGAGCCTGCTTCAGCATAGCCTGCGCTGACGACGAGGATCCACCCTCTTCGAGTTGACGGACAATAGTGTTGGTCAGACCCATGCACAGCTTGAGAGCAGACTCTCTAACGGATCCCTTGACATCGTCAAGCACCTTCAGTGCCGCAGTCCAGATCTCGGCATAGTACTTCTCATACTTGTGGAAGGGCTGTCCGGAAATCAGGTCGGAGATAGCACCGCAACTGGCCTGTCGGACGCGCCACTCCTTGCCAAGGACGTTCTTCAGGAGGTCCTGCATGATGGCGTCGAAGTGCTCGCCGATCGTCTCGTTCGGGTTCTTGACCAATGCCTTCCAGATGTCATCCATGGATCGTTGAACGTTGGAGTTGGGGTCGAATCGATATCGGAACAGCTTAGGGTAAAGCTTAGGGTCGACCTCTGACTCGGAGAGGATATTGCTGAGACCGAAGCGGCCAAAGGCAGATCTCGTAGACCAGGTCGCGGCGTTCGTCGCGAGCGACATGAACTTATAGACGAGACTCTGGTCACCGACTTCGTTCGCCAAACTGACAATATCCTTGTACGACGTGACCGACTTGCCCTCACCTGTAGGCAAAGCGCCGGGTTCGAATAATTCCGTCTCGTCCTCGACCTTGATCTGCGTGGTATTTCCGGTGAAGGCCGAGACCAAGTCCTTGACAAGATCCTGCTTCAGTCCTTCGTCGCCCTTCTCGTACACCAGGGACAGACCGCGGGAAGCCGTCTCCTGCACCAACTCGTCACGCGCACTGAGCAATCTCATGAAAGCGGCCTGAGCCTCTCGAAGACGGGACTGGACCTCGTCGAGATGTCCGCAGTACTGAACGACGCAGAAGAGCCAGATGCCAGAGGCCTTGAGCAAGCTGGGTTTTGTCGTCTTGCAGTCGCGGAACAGCTTGTCGAGCACGGCGGTGATTCTCTGGCTGCGCTTGCCCTTTCTCCAGGGACCGTCGGTGCAGTCAACGTTCATGGAAAGCTTGACAAAGTCAGAGTCCCAGCAGGCAATAGCGGCAGTGATGGCCTCGCCGACGGTGAACTGAATCTCAGTCTCCTTTCTGGAATGGAGTCCGAAAAGACTCTTGAGAACGCTGTCTATACCTGAAGTCTTGCTAGACGGGTACAGCAGGCCGTCTTCGGGAGCGGCCTCTTCATTCGGCTCGTTGAATGCCAAGGCAAGGCGGCCGAGAGCAAAGATGGACTTGTCGCTTCCTGCGTTCGCATTCTCCGTGAGTCTCTCAATCACATAATCCGCAGTAAGGTTGTTAACGTTGTCCGGAATATACTGTGAAAGTCCCGCGGTCCAAAGCTCGCCGTAGCATTCAAGGATAGCATTCTCCAACGTCGGGCCATGGCGCGATTTGTCCATGAGCATCTTTGCCGGAAGGTGAACGTCGATCGGAATAGGAAGACCGTAGTACACGGCTCTCGAAAAGATGTGGCCGAATGCTTGCAGGGCTCCTTCGACGCCATTGGCGACCGCTCCAACGTGCTTCTCCCACCCCCAAATCATCGCCTTGAGATCTCTCAGGAACTTTTGAATATTCTCGTTCCTCGTCTGGTTGGAAGCCGCCTCGGGAATCGCCAGGTCCACCTTATTAAGGGGATGAGGAAGGAGAATTCCGACGGCTTGCGCGGCGGCAGCACGGGTGTGTCGGTTGTTTGATGCGATGCACTTCTGCAGAACCCATGCCGAGGGGGCAATGTAGTTGATAGTGCCAGCGGGCGCGAGTGATGCGACATCAACCATGGACTTCAGGCAGCTCTCAACGACGCGGTCGGTTCCATCCAGGTTCTTCAGGTAACGAACGCCGTCGAAGCAGATCTTAATAAAGAGACCAATGTACTCCGGCTCGACGGATCGGAAGTAGGCTCTAATGGTCTCCCGGGTCTTGACGTCGTTCCGAACAAGAGTGTCAAGCTGGGAACTCCAATCAGGGACCAGAGGAAAGTCCGGAAGCGCGGCGACGAACAGGGCTCTCTTGACGTACTCGACGGCAACAGAGTAAGCCATCATCTTTTCGCCCTGGAAGTTCTGCATCGTGCGGTCATCATCAAAATCAAGCTTGGGAGGCGCTGAGCTGCTCCACTCGTCACTTGAGATCTCGTCAGAAATCTTGTCGCAGAAGAAGTACGTCATGAGTTGGATCCAATCCGGCATCTTGTGCGCCTCGGCGTCCCTGTACGTCCAGGGATCCAAGCCCTTTCTGCCTTCCTCGACGACCTCGGTGCGCTCCGACTTGCGGCCGGCAATGGCCAGGATATCGATCCATCTGCCTCG